CTCCTGCAAAGGTTAACCCTGTTCTGGCTAGAACCAGGACATGGGGAAAAGGTAGAACTTCTCATGTTTGACATTTTGTTATGAAAAATACATTTAAATACATTTTTGTTCATGAATCCAAATAGATTTTATCCACCTCAGTACCTGTCCTGGTTGTTCTGGCTTCATCAAAAACAGCAGTATCTGCAGTTCATCCAGTTGTGCATTATGCAGTGCTACTGATACCTGTCATTAGCAATTCAGTCTTTCTCTGCCCTCTGAGCAGAGACAGGTTTTTGTTTTATGCATCTGTCCCTCTTAGTGTCCTTACCAATGGATGCAGATGAACGCTGCTGAGGTGACTGGTACCAGTGCAATGAGGCCTGTGGTATGTCTTGGTCACTGTGGAGGTTTTGAACACTAGGGAAAGCCTTGCCCACAGGCAAGATTCTCAGATCTTGAGGTCCTTTATCAGTGATGGTCTCTGGAGCTTTGGGTAACCTTTTTGCTGAAGGAGGACACTGATTGCCTCGTAGATAAGGACCAAGAACCCAGATGTGATTTGTTTGATGTGGGAGGGCAATGCAATGTCGAGAGGCTAGATTTGACATGGCTGTGAGAGTTTGCACTGCAGAGAAGATATATGAGACTGTCCCCATGGGACTGTGGCTCCTCTCTTGGGCACTTTCTGTGACTGTACCCTCAGCAGGAGACAATAAAGAAGCGCTGCAGTAGCAGTCACTGAAGGTTAAAAGTAAGATTCACTCCCAATTTTGGTGCTATTATTTGCATTGTATTCTGCTAAATCAAAAATAGTTCTGAATATTTTCCTGACAAAGGTGCTCATCTTTTCTTACTTGTTTAGGACCAATCTTGACCAAGAATGTCCTGTCAGAGGCATTTCTGAGTCATAATAATGATGCTTAAGAAAACAAAAAGTTTTAGCTAAACTTTTAAAACAATTTTGTTTCTCTTCCCTTACTGGGTGAACAACATTCTTGTGAACATTTTCTGAAGAAAGAAAATTCGTGAACATTGATTTGGTGGTTCAGCTCTTTCTGGTATTGATTTTGTTCACATTATAATTTTCTTTGAAATCAAATGCATTTGTGTGTACTGTTTGCAGCCTTTTTCCAAATCTGTTTCTATGTTTTCTTCTGATAATGGTTTCTTTAGATGCTCTAACTACTCTCTGTGTCTGCATCGACAGTGTGGATGTGTGACCAAGACTTAGTTTAGGCTAGCTTATTTTTAAAAGGAAATGAAAGAACTTTCTTAAAAATCTTAGCTAGTGATAGAGTCGTGATTGCATCATATTATCACCCCAAGATGGTCTAAGGTGGAACAAAGAAAATCTGACTGTTTGATAATAACTCTTTTCAAAAGATATTCCACATTTTGAATATTGTTTGAATTTTGGACATTACTGGCTGATTATCTGAGGGTGAGAACAGTGAAATAGTGGCAATGCTTTTAAAAAGTCTAAAAAGGGTATGCCTCTGGAAATGCATGATTTGTAGTTAAGCTGTGCATAGTCTTCTCTGCATTACATTGTGTTGCTTTTTGTGTTGTTTCATTTTGATGATTATATTGTGATGGTATCTGGAGACTCTCTGTATGGATTTAAGCCTTGTTATTCAGTACCTGCTCCTTGTACCTGTTTAGAATGAAAAAGTGGCATCTCTTCCAATGAACTTACAGTCATTTTTCATATGTGTCAAAGAAGGAGCTTTGGAGTTGTTTTGGAGACAGCACCTGGCTATCTGGTGATTGATCTCTTGGGCTGATGTACCATCTAAAGCTGTCCTATCACTATGCATTATGCTCCCTGACAGTCAACCCTGGCAGGGAAATGGCTTAGTTGTTTTCCATGGACTATAATTGACATGACACGATTATCCTGTTTTCTGCCTTCCAGCATAAACATGGACATTACATGGCAGCATTTCCATATGACACCTGATAGGCTCACCTGGGCTGGTCCTCATCTCTTGAGGCAGGATGAAATTTAGCTTGTCTGCCACTGTTTCATACATGTCTGGGTACTAGAACAGTCTGAAATGAGTTACCTTAAAAACTTATAAAATCTCTCTTGCTAGACTTAATCCTCCAAGAGCTGGAGCAGTCTTCCAATTTTTGCCTCTGTTCACACAGAAACACAGATCATTATCCTCTTTGTATCAATCATTTGGACATTACAGAACTGATTATTTGACAACCTTTTGTTGTTGTTTAATCAGCAAACTCAAGTCTTTCAGCTCTTTCTTTATACCAGGCTGCCTAAGTCAATTCTCTTCAATTTGGGTGTGTTCAATAGCTGGTAAGAGTTAAAGCATTTTATAGAGGAGGGAGGAAAAGAGTGGAAGAGAATGCAACACTGAGTGAGCATCCCACATGTTCCTCTCCAGGGCTAAAAGTGTATGCAAAAGGATATCAGGGCTAAATCTCCTCACCTGCATTTACATTTAACATTGTATATTTGGAATCTGGTCCAGAATGTAATTAAATTTGTGTTGTACATGTAAGTTGTTAGATGCATCCTGCAACATTTTAGTTCTGGGGTATAATTCATTATTCTTCATGCAGTGTTCTGCCTTTAATTGCTTGTTTTCAGAGTCAAATATCTTTGTCTCTATCTACATTCTTGTCTTAGGCTATGTTGAGAGTGAGACCTCAGTAAGTTGCTAACCTAGTTAGTGTTCTGTGTGCATCATCAGATTGTGGGACTCTGTTATTGCTCTTATTAAGGGTGAGCAGCCTTGCTAAAGACTAGACTAACTTCTCAGGTTGGTACAGTTCTGTTGTGTTCAGAGAGGATGAAGACCTGAACCTACCACAGGTCCAGCTAGATAAAAGAGTGTAAGTCACAAGTTTAGCACTTCTTTGATACTCTGAAAATAATGAATGCCTTTCTTCTAAACCAGGAGTCATAGCTCCTATGTAAAACAAAGAGATATCCTGAACCACAAATAAACAAATTCTCTAAAACACACATACATCATTAATGCATTACTTGCAGAGACAGGTGAGGAAGAAACAGCCTGAGCCTCTGGCACCATCTGAGGAAGTAGCTATGTAAAGTCTGTACAATCTTTTTCAAAAGTTAAAAATCAATGATAGAGTTTTTGAAAATAGTGTGTGGAAGACAACTGAAGAAATAGTTTCATTACCAATAAATTGTTACCAAAAGGTATATTGCATTTTAAAATTGCAAATAAAGATATCTCTAATTCCTGTATGTAATATTAGGATATTTTTTAGCATTATTGACATATTAAAGGAATTTCTTACCTACTAGGAGCAGTAAGGGGGAAACAATCTTGAAAAACTGGAAGATGTTTCATGTTCAGACAGTATCAGAAGACTTGAAAGATAAATCATGCATATTCTGATTGCACAAATTACTTTAAGCAACACCTATTCATTGCAGCATGGTTTATCCCACAAATTTAAAGAAAATGTAGAAGGAGAATCAAGAGACTGATAGGGAAAGAATAACATAATTACTGATCAGACTCTCTTCCTGGGTCACATCCGAGCAGATTACAAAAGTGGAAAGGATAGTTATCACTGTGTTATTGGTGGGGAAATGTAGATGGAGAAGCAAGATAAATTTAAATGAAACCAATTGCCCAGCGTGACTTAGCAGTCTGTGACAAAGCTGGGACTGGAACCAACATGTCATCAGACCTTTTCCAGCAGGTTACCCAACTGGTCATGCTGCCTCTCAGCATGTATCCCACAGTACCAAAGTGTCTATTATTTTACCCAAATCTGAGCTATGCTGTAAATATACAACAAGTTCTTAGAGCTGGAGACAGCTGTAGTTGCCCAGAAGACAAAAGGAATATCAATTCCCTAGAAAGGACAGCAGATTTGCTCAAAATGGGAGGGTTGGAAAGGGTGTTTGACCGTGTAGGGATACTGAGCCCCACCATTCCTCACTACTCAGTTTGTTACCATGGGTTCATGAGGCATCAACTCTTTTATGCTCTTAGGAGCAAATGCCCTGCATTGCTCCCTGGTAAAAATCAGTTTTCTGATTGATACTCCTTAGCAGTATCAGAGAGATTCCCAACCACCACCAAATACTCCACATATATCAGACTGACACACAAAGGGAAAGTTAGTTGCACAGATATACAAGTACCCACCTTGCCACTCACCTGGAAACTCTGTCAAACCACAGGAGACAATTCATCCACACCGTGTGGCAGTGCCCAGCACGCAGAACAACCTGGTCTAGTGGGAGGTGCCCCTGCCCACAGCAGGGGTGTTGGAACTAGATGGTCTTTAAGATCCCTTCCAACCCAGGCCATTCTATGATTCTGTGATAGCTGTGCCCACCCAGACAGGTCTGGAGACAAAACAAACCCAGAACAACTCCTGTGTGTCAAGATTTAATGCCATACTTGTAGCTCACTGTGCAACCTTCTGAGACATGACCACCTTTCTCAGAAATTAGAATTTTCTTCTCTATCAGGGCTCAGAGTTTAAATCACAGTAAGATAAAAGTGCACTGCTATTTTTTTCATATTGTTTTTCATGGTGAAGGGATGTGATCACATGTTGGGTGAGACAGTCAGCTCATTACATGGACTGGATTGCAGACATCTGGGTGCAGCAGACCAGATGGGAAAGGTGGTTAAAAAGTATTTTACTCTTGAAAAAGGTTCTCTTAAAATGCATAGGCATTTTACTTCTCTATCACAGAAATCTCTTGATTTGCAACCAACAGGGGACGTACCAATAAGGGGTTTGTTAAGTCAAACTAGCCCTGTGTACTCTTTTCTTACCAGTTGTCTTTATTGCACAAAATTTCTTTGAATCTCCATTCATGACCTGAGCTCCCACTTGCAGGAGGTAACAAACAGTAGTGAAAGGTTTTGAATAAAGAGCTGTCAGAAAAGTTCTTGAAACACCTCAATTTTTCAATTTGCTGTATGTGTTCAGTGCTATATGGCTATGCTTTAAGATATTTGTAGTAATTTCTTAGTTACAACATATCTTTTCAAATACAGTTAGCCAAACTGATTGCTATGTAAGCCTGTCCTTGCCCACTGCTTCCCCCGAGACTGTCCGGACCAAAACCATTAAAAACTGCAAAGACCCAGTGTGGAATGAAACATTTTGCTTCAGGATCCAGAGCCAAGTAAAGGTAAGACGCAGAGTGCATTTGTTTGTCTTTTGGGGCAGAGACATCATAGTGTGATCGATGTGTTGGGCAAAATAAAAATAGAAATAAATATGTGTGAAGGACTATGAGAATATTGGTAAGGGCATTTGGAGTAGAATGTAGCAGCAAAATTGAATTTAATTTTCTGATATGTAAAAAATAACGAAGATATTTCATAACTCTTCCTATAGTGTGCTATCACTTGTCAATTTTTCATCACTGCTTTTCACAAGTACATGTGAAAATTACAGAGTAAATTGAATAGCATAAAAGAAATGTATGAGCTAGGTCGTGGAAGCATTAAAGGGCTGTACTTTTTAACAATTCCTTTGTAATGACCAGAAATAAAAAAGTCACAAAGCAACAGTTGAATTTTGCAAAAGAGAACTTCATGAACTTTTATCATGACGATAAATGTTAAAGCTTAAGAAGATTTGCAAGTCCCACTATCTTCTCCTTCCAAAAGACAGCACCAACATCAGAGTCCAGGAGTCCACAAAGATCAGTGGTAGGCTAAGTAAACCAAGCTTACTTCACATCAGGGGCAGTCAGTCTCTGCTTTACAGCTTGCACTGTTCATTTCCTAATGCTGCTGCCAGATCAGGACTTTCTACAGCAGCAAATAATCAGGCCAGTCCTGTGGCTCTCTCAAGAACTGATAAACTCCTCCAAAAGAGCATTTGGAATAGCTCAATGTGTTCCTACACCACAGGGTCTCCAGTGAACAATCCCTCTTGCCTTTGACTGCAGAAGTTGCCCATGGTACATGTTCTCAGGCTTTCTTCCACAGTAAGGTGGTACTGGCCCTGTTTGGTATTGCTTTCAGCTTCCACATGTCTGCCCATCAATACCTACAGCTAGTGCTCTCCCTGCAAACCTAAAAAATTCCAACCTCTTTCAAAATGCCAGTGAGGCACAATTTCATGAAGCCCTGCAGTTTTATCAGAGGTGAAAGGCATGGGACACACATTGCAGCATGGGAACAAACACCCACTGATGTGCAGCTCTTGCACACAAGCACCTGCTCTTCCTGAAAGGATTTTCAAAACTGCAGTAACACACAGAACAGCTAAAAAAATATCTTGGCTGCAGAAGCTGCTTCAACTTGTTCTTCAGGAGTAGTGTTTGGAAAGACCTTATGTTTACTTTCAGTAAATTTGCACCAGGAGACAAAACATGTGGCATTAGCTGGAGTAATTTTCAGTGTGTGGCTACAGCAGCGTGGTGGGGGCTGTGGCTTGAGTGTAGGCTGCAAAAATGTATCCTGGGGATCTGGGACAACCAAAGCTCAGCAGTTAAGGCTCTTGAGCAATTCCTGTGCTCATTACCCTCTGAGCAGAAGCAGCGTTTGCTGGTCTGGTTGTTTTCTCCTTCCCTGTCTTGTGTTTTGCTGAGGCATTCATCTTCCCAGTCTCTGGTAGCCAGAGCTCAGTAAAACCATATAATGCACTGTTCTGCGGAAGAAAAGGCCTGTTTGGGCATGTTTGTGCTGGTTCTTACCAGGAAGAGCAGTGTTTACTGACAGGCATCTGTTTTGATGAATGTCTGACAAACAGGTGGCTAGAAAAGCTTCCCAGGCTTGTGCTCTAGGTACAACTTCCACAGTTCCAGGAGGGTGACCCTTCCCAGAGCTGGTGGCACACAGCCCTGCCAAGGGCTATCTCTGCTCGTTGTTGCCTGGCTCCCAGTGATGCTGCCCTCATATTCTCTGTCAGGAGAGATAGAAACAATGAACTTCCCAGTTACCCCTGGCTGCTTCCTACACAGCATCCCAGGGGTGCAGCCAGAGATCTCCCTTGGCCAGCCTGCACCCTGTGCATGCCTCTCCTGGCCAGCTGGGAGTAACTGGGACTGCAAATCAGTTAGCCACGCAGAAAGTAAGTCAGTCATTTAAGCCAAATAAGGATATTCTATTGCAGTATCACAGCTAGCAGAACTGATCTGCTCTTCAGTGCAAGCTTGCCTTCTACTAACTGCAGACTATTGCTTTTAAGCATGTCACCTCCATCACCTTCCATAATCCTTTACAGGCTATTTATAGCTGGCCTGTAAACCAAGATGGTATGGCTGCTTGTCTCTGCCTCTTGACAGTATGTTTCTATTAGCAAGTGTCATGGAAATGGCTGACCACAGTGTGATACTTTTACACAGGTGGCCTTAGAGGTCAGCAGCATTTCTGTCTTCTGACAGTAAACTGCAAACTCAATTTCCATCTCTCCCTTGCTAGTTTCTTGCAGAACGATAGATGTCAAAATTGAATGGTTGGATTCTGGAGTGGCTTCCTTTCAGTGTATATGTCTAGTCAATCACTTACCACATTTAGGTATGGACTTTCCTGAGATACATTATGAGCTTCTAAGACAAGCAAGTTCACGTGCTCGATCTCTTTTATCCATGTGTTTGTGTGCAAGACCATGAGCCTTTAATAAACATCCAGCCTCTTAGCAAGTTGCAGTTAAATCTGATGCATAAGTAAGAATCTGAGATAAGTGCTCCCTGTAATTTGCATGAAAATGAGCTGCTGCATATATTGAGGGAGGCCTGAATTATTGCCCCACTGAGAAAACAGCAGTTAAAGTTCACTTGCTCAGCACTATGAGAGGCATCTCTGAGCCAGCTCATGTCTAGCCACCAATCAGGCACAGGAGAGGCTGTTACCTTCTGTCCATCCAGACAGGTGACAGAGGAGGGAGATGTATACAGGATTTGTGCAATTTAACAAAAGCATATCACTTTCTGTAGATTACATGGTAATTATCTGCATGTGATCTGTTTAAGAATTTACAGGATAAAATTATGCAACCATGAAGTAATTATATGGTACATCCTTAGTGTATTTTAATTGCTGCTTATATCCAAGGATTTTTATTCTACCAATAGCAACAAAGTCCTGACCACTAGCTGGTTTTCTACAACTCAGAAAAAAATGGTGACCTCAAACCAAACTGGAGGCCAAACATGTTTTTCAATATTCAGTGATTCTACTAGCTTTTGTCATTTAAATTTTTCTGAAGTACAACTCAACAATAAACCCAACTCTGTGCTAGGTTCAGAATATCTTTCTTCATCTCTGTGTGGATGCAAAGGTTGTGCATGCTCTCTCACTTCTACTAGTTCTTTCTCTGTTTTTCTTAACGTGCTGAGCACATCATCTTGTGTCTCTGTGAGATCTCAAAATAGGATCCTAATTCTGTACCTCTGTTCACAGAATATTCTTGAGATGAAAGTCTATGATGAAAATGCTGTCACTCAAGATGACCTCCTCTTCACTGTTCTCTTTGATGTTGCTAAAGTCCAGCTTGGAGAAACTGTTCACTTGACATTTCAGCTAAATCCAAAGGTGAGTGATAAAACTGCCTTGGTCACAGGAAGAAAATACATTTTTGATACTACCTCCTAAGTAAGTTCTTTTAAAGCAATTGTAGGTAAGAGAGTTTGTTTCCTCTTGGTATACACTTCATATACCCTGTGAAGAACCTTCCAAAACTTAATCAGCAAAGTAGACAAGGACATGATCCTGAAGGCTTTTGCTAGCTCAACAAACCTCTTAGCAGGTGTTTTTTCTGACACCAGAGTTGCCTTTTTTCCCTCTTTTTTGCCTCTGTTGCTCAAATAGGTTTTGTTGGAAATACAAAACTTGATCACCATTGCACAAAGTTTCTTTGTTAGAATTTCTTTTCTTGGCAAAAGCACTTGTGAGTTTGGGCATACTCTGGCAGTATTCACTTAAAAAAGGTTTCCTTGCCCCGTAATTCTTCTGAATATACCGGAAGATAATACAAAGATCCATACTGAGGTGCTAAAACCAGTTGATGGCCAGCTGCTCAAACTATTTTATTGTTTCAGTGTGCCTGAACACCTACATGATGACTTCAACATGGGATGTGGTTATTCAATTTAGATACTTCTATAGATCTGCAATTTCACTGACTTTTCTTATAGGGTATGTATAGGTATTCAGCTCCACAGTGATTTCAGCAGGTAGTCTGCCTTAACTTGTCTGGGCTCTGGTCAGTGTGTTGTCTGTGTTATAGGAGTCCTTTCAATTGGAAGAACTGAGAATGCCCTCTTCTGTACAGCAGTATCCCTCTTCAGATAACATTACATGGTAAAAACCCAAGCCTTTAGACAGTTTTAAGCCAACAGTTACTGCTGCAGGACTGCCTGCCCTTCTACTCTGTCTCACCACCAAACAGAGCAGGGCAGATTGGCCTGAGGACTGATGGTTAACAAAGGAGGGAGAGCACTTTCAAAATCACTCTAATTCAAATGCTTTCACTCCTCACACTATACCCTGGAGCAGGAAGGAAATTTGATTTGATTGAAGGACTCTTTCAGAAGCCAGAATAATAATTGACAGCCATAGCTAATGAGAAAGAAAATTAATTCAGATGCTTATAATAAATTAATTTTTTTACAGACACAGGAGATACTAGAGGTTGAGTTTACATCGGAGAGCATGTGAGTAACACCCACACGGAACCATAGCTGTGCCCCTTTGTAAACAGTCAAACACGTACTACCCTTTAGTCTAAATTAGTTTAAAATGCCCAGCATGACAGTAATGGCTGGTGTCAATGAAGTTAGTTGTATATTGACTAAAACTCTGTCTTCCTTATCTACCAAGAGTCATCCTGGTTATTGATTTTTCCTATTACTTGCTTGAAGAGGGAAGATAGTAAGAACTGTGGTCATCATGCTTATTACAACTATTGTTTACCATAATCATTAAAAAAAAATCCAAACATATTTCAGATATCTTCTAAAATTAAAAATCAGTGACATGTCAATGATAAGACAAACTTCAAGGAAAGTATTATTCCTTGGTGTTCATTTAGGAGTGTATTTAGGTGATACTACTTCTGATTGCAATTTTTTTCTCTTTCAGTCCAGTCCCTCCTGAAAAGCTTGTGACTAATGGTGTATTAGTGGTAATTTTAAACTATTGCTCTTATATCTTTGTGGTCATGACAGCAATGGGAATGGTGAATCTGGCAGGTGTCCCAACACCCCACTGCAGGCAAGGCTGAAGGGGAGAGAGATGGGGGTCAAACACAAGTAGCCATCCTGTTGTGCTGCTCCCCTTGGAAGGACGTGTTAGGAAAGAATTTGCAGAGTCATTTGGGATCTCCAGAGACCTGTTTACCACCACAGGTTGATATCAAGCCTCTTGGCAAAGCCTGAAGTGGTCTTTCACTGACTTACTGCCACTGTGTCATTCCTTTGGGGAACTTCTTTTGTGACTCCCTCACAGGCATCCTGCTTTCCCCACTTCCCCAGGATGGTATGGAAGTTGCTTTCTCAGCTGCCCTTAACTCATAACTTAAAGGAGGTAGCACTTGGCTGTCCAGCTTCACCAAAGCAGGGCAGCAAGGACATCCCTGTGATTTGGCCTACCCATCAGTTTACCCTCAGGAGGTCTCAGCACACTCCCATTTTCCCCCCTGTTATTCCCGTTTCTTCCCAGTGCTGTCCAAAAACACCACAACAATTTTTCTTTCATTTGAAACCTGTCACATTCTCAGAGTGCCAAAGCCTTTCTCTTATCAGCCTAACCAACACAGGGTGGACTATTTTCCAGACCCCAGGGACTCAGGTGACCAATGACAGGTAGCAGTAAAGTGACTCACATATGGGATGTTTTATACTTTAATCTCACATCGCTCATCCCTGCTACAGTCTCGTGAAATTTCCTGCTTGGAAGTTCTAGTGGACAACAGATGGACAAAGAAAGAGCCTTCAGGTTAGACTTCAAACTAGAAACAAAACCCTTATTTTATGGTTAAGTGACTTTTCTTGGTTGGTTGATTGTTTTGGGGTTTTTTTTATTTTTTGTTATGTGGTTTTTTAAATTATTTTTTGGTTTTAGTTTGTTTTGTTTTTGTTTGTTTGGATTTTTGTCTGTGCACATTGGTTTTGTTTGTTTGTTTTCTTTCATTCTCTCATCTGGTAATTTTCCTACTTTATTCTTACAATTAGAGCACAGGAACTGGATGGTTAGGAGTGTATACGCAGGTTCACAGATTCAACAGTTATAGTGAGTCTTCTAACTAATTATAAAAACTGGACTTTGAAATGAAAGGAATGACTCTTACAAGTGCTGTAAAGTAGAAGAAAATATATATTTCTATCTCAACTTACATTTTGTCCAATTTGCCTGTATGTCTGAGTTTTTAAAATAACTACTGCAGCTTTATAAACTTTTTGGAGTTTTGTAGTTTGTTTTTGATTTGCTTGTTTGCTTTTCTTCGTCTTTTATTTCTTGTAGTGTTCTTTTGCTGGACAAATAGAGTTTGGAAGCATTGCTAAATGGTTTATATATAAATTTCTGAAAGACCATTTAGTGTTCCATTTCTGAGATCATAGTCATTAACTTCTCTATATATTTTCTGTGTTTGGATTTTTGTTCTAGAAAAAGACTTCTTGTTTTCAGTGAAGGGATCATATGAGAAGAGCCAGACCCTGTCACTGGGCTCTTTCTGGCAACCTCTGAAGCCCCTGAACTTCCATTATATCAAGTACAGCCTGTCAGAGCTGTGCATGGCTCTAGCAGACAAGAAGCCTCATTTCTGCTCGGTATGTGATCATTAGCTTGAGTAAGCACAGTAAACTTGTGGTTTTCTGCACTTGACTGAGGCAAATGGAAAGAGTTTGTATTTTTAGTAAAGAGCTCTCTTTCATGAACTTCAGCTCTGAAACAGCATTGTAACCCTGAAGACATGCAAATATTAGATGCCAACTTGAAAACTGCTGTACAAGGGACCCCATTTGAAAAAAGTAAATTGTAAGCAGTGCTTTTGTATGGTGTATATATGAAATATTTTTCTACATTATAATTTCTTTTTCAGTGTACTTCAGGTGAAGACAAAAAAGACTGCCATGCATCCCTCACTATTCCTCTGGATTCACTTCCATTCAGTGAGAAAGTGGCAGTAGCAAAGGTGATTGGTATCAACTTCTTAGAATAAACAAATTAGGGCTATAGACCAAAGATCAGTGGGTATGTGTTAATTAGATCAGTGTGAAATAGGGGTTTAGATATTTAATTGTTAGTGCCCTCAGCTTCCTAATAATTCCTAACATTATGAACTTGTATGTTTTCATATGAACCAAACAGAACAAAGAAATCACAGCCAAACACGACAAAGGGATTTCTGTGGCCACCTCAGGGACTAACACGGATCAGAACAAAGGCAAATGATGAGGCAGGATGGAGCACACTGGCAGAGTTGGTGTTGGTTTTTACTGTACACAGCTCTCTTTATCTTTAGTATAAAACAATATAAGGAAAATAAAGTGGACTTGGAGAACTTTTGAGATTTAGATAGATTTTCTGATTATTATGGCTTTGTGGTTCAATATGGCTTTTAGAAAAAGAGAAAGGCTTCAGAGCTGATGGTAAAGAAAGAATGTAAAATGATCTCCAGTGTTTATATTGTGGTGTTTTTTTTTTCCTAGGATGAGACCGTCAATTTACATGTGAAGTCAAATGACTGGTAACAAATTCTGTTTTTTGAGTTTTGTGGTTGTGAAAAAAAGATGTTTTTTTGCCTTCTTACCTATTTCTGAAACTAAGGGAGAAAGTATTTAGTCAATGATTATATTTACCTATTGATGAACCTTATGTTCATTATCCATGTCCAGAAGGTGGTTAATTGTGCTAGGTGAATTTTCCTGTTATGCTGCTATATAGAAGTTCAGTTAAGAAGGGGAGAATAATGTTTTCTGGTTGCAACATCTGTAGAGCTATATATTTAGAAAAAGATGTGTTTACTTGCCTTTCCTTACTTGTTAAAAATACAGAGTATTCGTATTTATAAAATCTGGTGGTCTTGAGACAAGAAATTATAAATATTCCACTGTTTGTAGTATCCCTATATGGATTGTAGTATTTATGTTAGACACTTCCTGATAATCAGTGTAGTAATAAAGAGTATTTCTTTCTGTAAGATTTTGCTACATTTTGCAGTTCATCAGCCTTTTCTTTACCTTATCTATACTATCTGTGATGTACTTTTGTGGGGCTGCAGTAGCAGCTTTTGTAAGCCTCATAATAGATTTTCAACTTTTAAGCAAGCATCCAGATATTAATTTTAAGTGATTGTGCACACCCTGTTTAACCCTGGACTTTGTTTGAGGTCCAGAAACTTAGATGTTCGCTTGGAGTTTGATCTATGTATGGAGGAGAAAAATTTCCTACAGAAAAGGAAGAAGTTTGTGGCATCTGCTCTGAAAAAAGCACTACATTTAGAACAAGACCTACAAGATCATGAGGTATGGGGAGGACCACAGGGACTGTAATATACTGTGTAACAGGAATGTCATGCTTGTAGTTTTTTGCATATTGTTCCTTAACTAGCCCTGATACATTCACTGCATCATATAAAGCATTGAGGAATGAGTTCCTACATTTTCTACTTTAGATGAAGCAATGTGAGAGCCAGGATAGTATCAAACCCTCTTGATACACGTTTCTTCAGAAAGCATAATGCCATAAATCGGAATTTTTTTCTCTATTTCTTTTTCATCTGTGCATTATAGACCTGGATAGTCCGAATGTTTTAGCTGATCATTCAATCACCAAGACCTCATAAGGTATTTTATCAGATTTTTGGAGGGAGAAAATCTAACAGTTAAAGTGATGCATAATACTGGCTGATGAGAAAGTGACCTATTATAGACTCTCCTCTGGTGCTCATCATCTCACCTGTAGTTCCTCAAATAAAACAAAGACATTCAATATTTTTTCTCTGATCTGCTTGTCTGAGCTAGGGTTCGTATTTTTTAATGTCCATGCTAGTGTGGGGATGGTTGGTGCTTTAGGGAGGGAGCATGGTCTGTGATCAGGAGCTTGAGAAATGAAGAACTAACTTGAGAGCAGGTTAAATTTTTTTCACCTGTGTTTTCTCCTTTGTTCAGGACAGGTGGACCAAAGGCATATTAGGTAATATATGACAGCATGGTTTTAGATATTATAAATTATGCCTCTGCTCACAAACTGATCATATTACATTGTCTCTCATTGGCACAATAGTTTCAATGAAAAAAACCCAGCAGTTTCTCAAGTATAAGAATTTTTAGGGGAAGTACTTCTAACTATTATTTTCAGATTTTCCAGCAAGAGAATATTTCCTTATAGTCAGGTAAATCCAAATTAGAATACTTTGCTTTGACCTGAAATGTTCGATTTGAATCAGGAAACTATTGAGACTTTCTTTGATGCAATTGCCTGGAAATGTGGAAAATGTCAGTGGGCTCATCTTCTCCCAGTGGATTTCTTAGTGAAATCTGTCTTCCTGTAACACATTTTATATTTCCATACAATTAGGCTTTATCACTGCATTACATATACTCTAGGTACTTTGTAGGAAATGTAATCTAGCTATTATGCTTGAATTACATAGAGGATGAGCTCTGCTTGTTATCAAAATAGACCTCTCAAGAGAAGATGTTTTGCTGCAGAAAATGTAGTCTAATATTGAAATGCCTTGGAACGATAAGTTTTGATAAACCAGCATGTAAAAATCTACAATGAAAATGATTGATTTTGATCAAAATCCTCAATATTAGTTCGTTTGGTTTGGTTTTTTTGTCCTGTGCAAAACACAGTTTTCATTATTTTTCTTCTATGCTTGGGGAGATGGTGAAATGTTGGAATTCTCTGTGGGGCTATCATGCTACATTTCACTCAGCACTGATCATTTGTGTGGGTAAACAAAGTGTTGCTTACCACTGTTGTGTTGATGATTAAACAGGTACCAGTTGTAGCAGTGATGACAACAGGAGGTGGCACCCGGGCTCTGACATCTCTGTTAGGCAACCTGTTGGGTCTTCAAAAGCTGGGTCTCTTGGATGCCATTTCATACATCACTGGGTCATCTGGTTCAACATGGTAAGGACATCCCAAACAAAAACATCTCTCATCACCTCTGTAGTCTGCTGTGCAAGATACTTACTCTTCATTTTTGTAAAGAAAGGTGTACTGCTTCAGTTTTGAACATTTTTTATTCCCGCATTAGGAGCACATTTCCCAAGCCAGTGAATTTTCCTTGATTCTTTGTTTCAGCTCTAGGGTCTTTTCTACTGAGTCACTGGGGTGCAAATCACAGCCTTGTGCATAAACCTTAGTAGCAAGGAGGGGCTTTTTTCAAGTCCTCAAGTTTCACTAGTGATCTGGGAAACTCTAAATCAAAAAATCTTTTCAACAATAAACTAAGCCCAAAAGAGGCTTTTAAAGAAACTCAGCTAGTTCATTTGATGTGGACCTTAAATCTAAGTCTAAAAAGTGAAAGTTTCTCTGCATATGACAGTGCACTTCATTTCTTTCCCCCAGGACTTTGTCACATTTGTATCAGAGTGCTGACTGGTCACACAAGGATCTATCAATACCGATCGGTGAAGTTCGCAGACATATGACCAAGTGCAAGCTAAGCTGCTTTTCCCTGGAGAACTTGAAATACTATGCAAAGGAGCTAAAACTGAGGAAGCAAGAGGGATACCAGATCTCTAGTGTTGATTTTTGGAGCCTTTTGCTGGAAAAAGCCTTAGATGATGGGGTAGCGTTTTTCCTATATTTTCTCTAGCTACTGAATCCTATTGTATGAAGCTCCAGGGACAGATGCCTGAGAGCATGCCAGCATTATCCAGCTGATGATTTCTGCTGATTAACAAATGGGTTTTAGAATTGTTAAGGTTGGAAAGGCCTCTATGTCCAATCATTATCCTATCACTATCTTGTTCACCACTAACCCATGTCCCCAGATGCCACACCTGCGCAAGTTTCAAACACTTTCACAGATGGTGATTCCACCACTTCCCTAGGGAACCTGTTCCAATGCTGACCAGTGAAGAAATTTTTCCTAATATTCAATTTAAACCTCTTTGGGCACAGCTGAAGTCCATTTCCTCTTGTCTTATCACTTGTTGCTTGGAAGAGACCAATCCCCACTTGTCTTCCTTTCAGGAAGTTGTAGAGAGTGATAAGGTCTCTCCTGAGACTCCTTTTCTCCAGGCTACACAACGCCATGTCCTTCAGCTGTTCCTTGTAAGACTTTTTTTCTAGACAGTTTCCCAGCTCCATTGCCTTTGCTCCATGTCCTTCTCTGGACATGCTCCTGCACCTCAATATTTTTCATATAGTGTGGGGCCCAAAACTGGACAGAGCACATGAGGTGTGTCCTCACCAGTGCTGAGTACAGGGGAACAATCACTGCCCTAGTCCTCCTACTACTGCTGATACAGGCCAGGATGCCATTGGCCTTCTTGGCCACCTGGATCATGTTCAGCTGCTGACCAGCACCCCCAGGTCCTTTTGTGCTGGGCAGCTTTACAGCCTCCCTTCCCCCAGCCTGTATTGCTTCCTGGGGCTGTTGTGACCTAAATGTAGGATCTGGCACTTGGCCTTATTGAACCTTACACAGTGGCCTTGGCCCATTGATCCAGCCTGTCCAGATCCCCCTGCAGAGCCTTCCTGCTTTCCAGCAGATCATCAGCTCCCACTAAGATTAGTGTTGTCTGCAAACTCGTTGAGAGTTTTGTCCCATGTGTCTCTTAATGCACAATTAGCAGCTGAAGGGGCTTCTGCAGAGCAGAAGACCTGTGTCTCCTTCTACAATTACGAGTAGTTAGTCTAACTAAAGAGTCATGTTCTTGGTTTATTTTACTCTGTTCATCCCTGTGAGAACAAATTTCTGTGTAAAGTGGATGTATTTATGAGAAAGGAGACCATTTTTTCAAAAAGCATCCTACAACACTGCCTGTAATTAAACAAGCGTGTGTGGATGTGTAAATATGTAGATCACTCCTTTGTTAGAAAAATGTTTGGACGCAAAATGAGTCAAAAGAATAGCAAAATCAAGAAGGAAACAGTATTCTGCTGTACTCTTGGAAGCCCATATACTGTGCCAAGAAGGTCCCTTGATTTTGCTCTTTGTCTTTTGTCAATTCACAGAAAAATAACCACAGGCTCTCAGATGAGCAAGAGGCATTGAGTCAGGGTCAAAATCCCCTACCTATCTACATGATCCTCAACATCAAAGAAGATTACAGCCTTTCAGAGTTCAAAGGTGATGGCAAAAATGGGCTTATTTGGTTTAAACTATCATTTTAAACTATCTGCATTATCTACTTCAACCTCTTCTACAGCTGACCCATAGCATTTACAAACAGTTTCTTTTCCTCCCTAACTTCTTCTTCCATTTCCAGACTTTATGCTTAGGCTATGGGAGGAACTTATCTTCTATGGGGCAGGAGAATTCTTGGGAAGGTGTTTAAGGACAGACAAGGTACTCACAAGCCTTAGCTCCACATGTAGGGTAACTCAGGCTGACCCCTCTTGGCATAAATTACACTTATATTCTCTCTGGAGAGGGTCATTGGAAAGTTCTGGATGAACAACACTGCGAAGCATTACTGATGAGTGGCTGACACCAGTTGAATGATAACTCTTTACCCTGAGGAAGGCCAGTCTGTGGTCAGGTTTATCCTGCAGCTCTCTTTTTGCCTTTTCATAGCCCTTCCAGCAGGGAAGTAGGGATAAGATTAAGATCTAAAAGTTTGTTTTATGTCTCTGCAGAATGGGTGGAGTTCACCCCTTATGAGGTTGGGTTCTTGAAATATGGTGCCTTCATTCGTGCAGAGGATTTTGGCAGTGAGTTCTTCATGGGTCGCCTGATGAAGAAGCTTCCTGAGTCCCGAATCTGCTTCATGAAAGGTAATGTGCTCTATTGCAAATATTTGAATTGCATAAATATGTACTTCATTTTCAATATAATGCAAACCCTGCATATCACAACCAGTGCTCTGCATCATGCAGGACTGAAACCAACTGGACACCATGTTGTTCTTACTTCTGACTTTCTTAGTCAATGGAGATGGGCTAAAAGTGCTGAGAGGAAGCTTCAAACTGCACTACTCACTGTTGCTTTTGTCTTGAATGGTGATGCTCCTGCCTGAAGTTTCAGGGCTGCTTGAAGAGGTTAGGTTCATTTTGAACCAACTAGCAAAAGAGCTCCACACGAAAAATATTTGTATTTTGAAACCAAAATATTTAAATCAAATTTATCTATGAATGGCATGATCTTAGATGCCAAAGCAGTGTTGTTACTGACTTTATTATAAAATATGGAAATTTAGGATAGTTTTGTGAACTGCTACTGATACTTTTGCAAGTTTAATAGTATTCTTTGTAATTTTACTACCATGATAAATAATTGAAATTTATCATTCTTAATTCAGGAAATTGGGTAGCACCCAGTAATAAATGAGAAACAGTTTTGCAGGTTTTATGCAATTCTTGTTTTAATGTTGCTTAATACTGGAACTCTCTAGTACACCTCTTTGTATGTTGGTTCTCTGGGGTAAAGTTGTCTGCAGACAAGGTCATCTGCTATCAAACAGATATTATACATGTAAATAAACACAAGGCACAACAGGACACCAAGGATACAGGTGAAAAATGGTTAATTTGTAAAGTGAAAAATTCATATAGCCAGAAACACCACATGGTATTCCTAATTTGGTATTCAGAGAAGCTGTAAATGTCTGTATTTTGCAAGAGGAGTCCAGAATCATAGTGTTCAAAACATGAGACAACGGTTAGGCATAAGAAACAAAAGATTGTGCTCAGTCACACAAGCACTAAATGTCACAGCTTTATTAGCTATGCTAAGAGCTTTCAGTGATGTCATGAGTTAAGGAAAAAGTTGTCTGAGGGAAAAGTCAGAAGAAAACACAGGATGCAAGAGTATAAATAGATCTGAAAAGGGCAGGAGAAACTGATGCACAGTAAATCCCACTGGTGGCTCTGAAACACAGTAGTTCAGATGCAGCCAGTACTAGAAATCCTAAATCCCGGAGACTGAGATGCTGGAGAGTACACTGGAGAAGAGATGCCTTCTTCCCTTTTTCTTTTACTCTTCCATTAAGCACTATGCTATTAGAGGTAGGAGGTGGGCTACAGAGCTAGGTGGGACTACAGAGCCTTCTTCTGAGCATGTTGTGCCTCCATTGCAGCTCCTCAACAGCAGCGGGGCAGTGTGCTCATACCAAGGTGACCAGGTAGCAAGCACACCCAACATATCCAGCCTGGGCTGAGTTCTGTTCTCAGCCTTAGCACCCGAGCCTGGTGATCCCACAGCCACGGGGGGACCTTTATAAAGGATAAGGTGGAGAGTTAAAGCAATGTTGCCATCTAGTGATACCACATGCAATGCCCTCTTGGGTTACTACCAAAATGTGCTGTTAGTTATAGGTTGGTAGTTTAAAGATTGCAGGGAGAGGAAAGAACTTTTCAGCTAGAGATGAAAAGACTGGATGAGTTATGGGGATACATGACCCTCAGGTTTCCAGAAGAAAGGCTGGGGTTCATAACAGCTTCTTTACTCTCTCCAACTCTGTAGCTTAGTAAGATACCATCCTTTCACAGTTCTTACTTCAGCCAGTATAGGTACAAAGAAAATTCAGTGCAAGAGGTTAGGGCAACGTTGCTATGTTATTATAAACAAGTTCTGAGGAGACAACAATGTTGGAGAGTCATTAAAATGCAGGAACAGTGTATAACTCCTAGGGCTGAGGGAACCGGAAGAGTTTCAGAGCGAGAAGACTCCAAGACAGGAGAAACCAGAGGAGTTGTCTTCTCAAGGCAGGGTTGGACAGAAACTTCTCAAGCTGCTGGGAGATGAGGTTGTCTTGGCAGAAACTGGCTAGTAATTATATGCAAATGAACTCTGCTTGACAGCTAAGTGTAGATCCAGAGAGGCCCAATCTGATTTCTTGATTATGCATTTCTAATATTTCCTAAGTGAGTCTATTTTTACAAGGACTTCCTGTAAAACAGAAGGCTTTGGTTTTTTTTGGCTTTTTTAGGTCCCACTCTAGAAACAAGCCATGTTTTAAAGGGAATTGTATTTCTGTTAATAATTTATGGGATGAATAATTATTTTATTGTACAACTCAAGTTATTGCATCCTGTACAATGTATGGCTTTTGCAAAGCTTTCACTGGTAGAGATTTTCAACACAAAGCACAGAATTGCCTTCTCTGGTAGAGTTCCTCTTGGGGCCTGTGACAGAGCTGTGGAGGAAGAGATACTTTTCAAAATAAAAGAGACTCTTGGAGATTTCTGCACTGTGGAGACATTTTTAGATGTTCTTTTACATGGGGTGGAAAAAGTGGGAGAAACACTATGGGAATGATATTAACAAATAGAAGAAGAAGGATGTCCCTCAAAAGACCTTGTGCAGAGAGTAATTTTAGAGGGATAGCAACGATGTCTTGTATCTAGAGGACTTTTCTGCAGGCTATCCCAGACTGTTCTCTAACCATTTGATTCTTAACTGTCCAGGAGCAGCTTCCAAGCCTTTGACTGAGTATCCACTTGTATATGATATATTTTGTAGACCAGACCCCTATTTTATAGGAAATGGCCTGGTTTTGCTCTCTTAGGACAGTTGCTTATGGGATGGAAAATGTTGGTTTTTATGTGGCAATGAATTACAGTGGCTGAAGGCCTCACACAATGTTTTAAACTATTTAGGCTCCTCCTTGAGGACAGAATGCTAGTTGCTGAAAAGAACTTAATATAGTTTTTGGTGATCATTTGGAAACCTCGGGGCTTTCCAATACCCCCTGCAAAGCTTAAAGATTGTTTGTTTAAAGGGATATTTTCCATTAGAATGTTTCTGAAGAAGTTTCTCTGCTCTCTACCATTGCACAGGCCTATGGAGCAATGTTTTCTCCTACAACCTCTTGGATGCCTGGCATTCGTCGGATCCCACACAAAGACGCTCACTGAGGTGTACCCAACACAGCACTGTTGATATTGGTCAGTTATGTTTCTGCTTCACCTGGTCCCTCATAAATCCAGAGGCTTCATGTTGTCAGCTGTATTGAACTAAGTTTCCTCTCTGAATTTATTCATAGAAATATTATTTCCATTAATCTCTCTGAATTTATGTAAATATAAAACTACTGAAGGTTTTAAACAGATTGTCTTTGCCAGGGGCCCTTTGGTGAGCCTCCGTATGGTAATGAACACCTCAGTGCTGTGCTCTCTGTCTGCCTCAGCAGCTGGTGCTTTTCATACACTGTTGTTGAAGACTTCGATTACATGAAACTCCATTTCAATTTTCTTTGATTTGTTGTAAACCTGTGTTTTTCTAAGAGGCCTTGGTTATCCTTCCTGTGTTCAAAGGCAGTTCGTGAATTTGGTTTATGGGTTTCTATCATATTCTCCATGGAAGTTTTGCAAAGCCCTAAGCTAAATAAATCATGTGATAGAGTCATTGACTCTCTTCTCAATCTCATGAGGTTCTCTGTACTTTTGTGGATGTCTGTCTCCTGACAGATTTTATTTTTGTACCCCCCCAAAGCTGATTTTATATTAATTTTGAAAGGAACAGGTCCAGATTCTGAACCTACCCTAACCTTCGCACAGGGAATCGATCTGTGAGTTCTGTCAAAGAATGGATCACTTTTTCCAGTTTTAGCAAGTTTGTTGCCACTCTGTTTCTCATGGAATAGGCTTTACTGAAGATTAATTTTCTTCTTGTTCCTATTTTGACATTGATTTCTCTGTATTTTGCAGTGTCCTATTAGTATGTTCTTTTCCCTAGCTAACATGAGATACCTTCTGTTATTTTAAGTATTGAAAAGAACTGTATCAAAGCAACAATTTGTTCACCTCCTCTATCTTTCAGGAGAAGAGTCTTCTTCATCAGACAGGAGACATGAGTTGGAGACTTACTTGGTCACCCCTGAATGTGGCATCATGGGCATCCTTCGGCAGATCCTGACAGAGCGGGTGATGGTTTCCAAGTTCTACAACTTCCTGAAGGGGTTCCAGCTGCACAATGAATATCTTCAGAGCAAAAATTTCTGTATATGGAAAGGTAAACATCCTAGAATATAATTTTTTGCTGTCTTAGATGGTTGGTGTTTTCATCAGTGAAGAGAGGGCAGATGATGAAAATTTGGAAATGAATATTTCAAGATAGCGATGTAAATTTTGTACAGTCAAATCAGTTTCAGGAATTTCCTTGACTCCAGGGAAAGAAAATTGCTCCTCATGTAGAATAGCAACATGAGAAATGAAAGAACTCTCTTCTTACCTTGAACAGGCCTTTCTTTTATGTGTGAAGGCTGAACATCTGTAGTGCATCAGGGTCTTTTTGGAAAAGTCAGTGTAATGGAGAACTGTCATTTTTCCTAATTTTCCTTATTAGTCAAACAACAGATGTACTGTTTCTTCAGTGAATCACTCATCATAAATATTTCCTTTCAGATACCATACTAGAGCATTTTCCCAACCAGCTGACAGAAACAGCAGAGTTCATGTGCCTGGCAGACACAGCGGGATACATCGACATTAGCTATCCACCACTCATGAGGCCAGAAAGGAAAGTGGATGTTGTGCTGCACTTAAACTATTCTTCTGGATCACAGACCTCGGTGTGAAAAGCGCTCTGTTTTCTTTGATACACAGCTGCTGCCTTTTAGCCCTCCTTAACTCCTAAAAATTCAGAATAATTTATGTAGAACAAACTGATTCTGGGAAAAAAGGATACTTGGTCTACAGCTCCCTGTGCAGATGCTTAGGTCGTGCAAGTGATGCTGGTAAATCTCCTGAGAACAGAAGTAATATCAGATTTCTAAACATTTTATTTAGTTTTATTTAATAGCATTTATTTATTAAATGCTATCTCTTAGACATGTGTGCTCCTGTGATCTCCATTTGGCTATCTAGATTACATTCACATGGAGTGTTTATCTGGTACTAGTTACCACCACTGATGAACTCATTATGGTTGTGTTGTGATGTTTATATAAAATTATCCACATGTAGTATAATTAGAAATGTTTTGTCCAGTCCTCCTTAGAACAGTAATGGGATTTTTTTTTGTTCTTGTTTGAAACTGTGGAAAAGAATTGTCCCTTGACGATATTTCCTCTCTCAAATACTAATAACCTGGTCTATAATTCCTGGTACTAGATATAGTTAAGACAGAAATTCTTGAGAACTAAAATTCTCATACATGCCAACCAGACTCAGGAAGCAAAATCCTGCTTTCAAAAATTGCTAACTCACGTGCAAGATTAACATTTCAGTTAAGGTGATATTTGGTCCCAGATTGCTGTTTACTTACATCACTTCTCAGAATCATCCTAAGACATCTAGGACAGAGGCTTTTAAATACTTTAAGCCAAGTCAAAAAAAAATTTAATTTTCAATTCAAAAACTTTACTATTTCTGATTCTTGTCCATTCTACTTGTTTCAGTATTTTCTCCAGAAGAGGCATTTTTCTATATCCTAAGCTGCTAGGCCACCCTTCCCATAGTCATGGACATTTTACCTATCTTATAGAGATAAAGGCTAATGAGGAGAAGGTAGAACACCAATCAGGAGTACAAGTTGGAGGCTGAGTCTTGAATTGTTCTGTTAATAGCACTTAATATTTCATGTAAGAGACAAGAACAGAAGAAATATTGAGAGTGAACCCTGCTCCCAAATCTTTGTGAAGATCTTTTGATGGATGCATTAGGAAAAGTGGTGGAAAAGGCAGGATTTCTGACATTTTCTTCTTTTCTGACTGAATTCAGCCTTTGGAAGAAGCCTCCAAATACTTTCAAAAGCAGGGAATCCCATTTCCCAAAATCCACATGAGTGAAGAGGAGAAGAAAAATCTAAAGGAGTGCTACCTCTTTGAAGACAGAGAGACCCCAGAGGCACCGACTGTGGTGTTTTTCCCACTGGTGAATGACTCCTTCAGAAAATACAAAGAGCCTGGTAAGCCATGGGATAGTCCTCCCACCACCTGGCAGCCCTTTGTGGGATGGGAGACATGGTGTGGCGTGGTCTCCTCCCTCCCCTGCTGTGCCTCCCATGGGAGAGTGATGCAAATGCCAAGGGAGCTAGGAGTAACCCTGTGCCCCACCTGGAAAGTGGGAGGTGGACCCATATCTATACCCTACTGATGATTTTTCTTTATTTGTCAGGTGTGGAGCGCAGCCCTGCTGAGATGGCACAGGGCAATGTGGATGTTTCCACCATTTTTTCCCCCTACTGCTTAAACAGTTTTACCTACACAGAAGAGGAGTTTGACAAGCTGATAGAACTGACCAGCTACAACATTCAGAACAACCAACATCTGATCCTTCAGGCTTTGAATTCAGCCATAGAGCAGAAAAGACAGCACAAAAAATAAACACTCACCTGAGTTTCAGAAAGATATCTGCATGTTTTTGTTTTTGTTTTTTTCCTTCTCTGGAGAATCATCAAGAGCTGTCTGTAAATGAGCATAGTAGACTTTGGAAAGCAAAGACTTGTCTAGGCTGTGGTTCCTCTCTAACACACGGTGATGCTGGATCAGCCAATCAAACAAAATAATGATTAGACTTGTGCTTTATTTATTTAAATAAATAAAGCTGACGAACTTTTTCATGCATATATGTGTATGTGCAGTAAATTTAAGGTCAGAAAACATTGAGTTTATTGAAAAGTTTTTTAAATGCACAAATCTGGGACAGATTCAAAATTTGTTATGCTACTAAAAACTGTATGTGAAGAAAAATGAGCTACAGATATTTAATTTATTCCAAATCTAGTGCAACAGAAAAATACATGATAAATGTGGACAGTTTCAAAGAACATGAAATCTGTATTTTCTTATATTGTCAGAAAGAATTTTTTTCTAGAAATAACATGCCAAGCTAAACATAAAAGATAATCTGAGACTTCCCATGAAAAATACACATTTTCTATATTTCCAAATGTTAAAGTTTTATTACACCAGCAGTATTTAGTTTTTGAAAATCTCTTGGAAACTACTGTTTCAAGCCATACTGTGAGTCAGGATCAGCTCTTCCAGTGCAGGTATAACTATCTAATCCACGGTTCTACTTTCCACTGAACATTCATTGTATTTAGATGATCCAGTTCAGTATCCATGTCCTGTTAATTTCAGTGGTTTTAATACTATTTCTTGTTATTATAAGATGGGATACTGTGAGAATTAAAACATCAAAAGCTGAGAGATAGGTTTTGTGGTGAGAAGGTAAGCTAAGTGCTCTACACTGATATCCATGGGTAATTCATGGGTAATCGCATGACTTTGTCAGTCCCTGCCTGTCTAAAAGCAGCACAGGATATATGGAACTACTATAAATAGCACAAGGTAATTTGTTGAAACTGCTTATTTTTGAGATGAAGACCAAAATAATTATTTGCTTTAGAAAGAATTTTAGTAAGACAAATACTATGCAAACCTGTTTCATTACAACAAAGATACTAATCTAAAATAAAAAGATACAATGCTTCAGTCAGTATTGGCTGCCCTTAATTACTTAAAATTTAAATAAAATGCAGCAGATTGTCTGTGCTGAAGTAACATGTATTGGCAAACACAGAGATATGAATAATGTATCATAGAAAATATATAAAATTAAGTTTTAATTAAAAATTAAATATGAGCTTCTCAGTGGCTGAAAAATTATCTTCCTTCCTGCTATCATGATCTGTCTCTCCTTCAATCATTCCTTTATGCCTTGTCTTCCTCTAGCTTTTGCTGTCTTTAGTTTCCCATGCTCACCTCCGATGACCTCAGCCCCTTTAGGTGTGCTGTGTCCTTACCCTGGCTGCTTTTCCAGCCCTCACACCTTTATCCAATTTGCAGCCTGGGTTCAAACCTCTGGTGTGCTGAAATGGCTGTTTACTTGGTGCTCATCAAGGGCTCCCCTCTTTGTGATCTCTGTTGCTGAGTCATCTGGTCCCTCTGGGCATTGCCTCTCCTCTGTCCCAGCTCTACTTCCCTCCGAGGCTTCCCTGGCTATCATTATGACAGCCCCATTTGGTGTGACACACGTGTTTGCTACTCCTCCCCACTGCCATCTTACAGCTGAGGTTTCAGGCGCCTCCAAGAGCTGCAAATGAAGTTCCTACCCCTGCCATCCAAGTCTTTGATGACACCAAATTTCAAGAAGCCTGCTTCCCTCTTCCCACTCCTGCCTTTAACTATACCTCTTTGCTTCCCTTGATGTTCTCTCGTTTGCTGGTTTAACAGTGGGAAGCCCCATTTACTCAGTGTGCCACTGAGGTGTTCTCTGCTGTACCTGCTAGGGTGCTTGTTCCACCTCCCAGCAGAAGGAGATCCTTGTCATCTGTCCTTGCAGGCCAGCAGGGAGGTTTTCTGTGGCTTTGTCTGCTGGCATTGTTTCGTTCTGGCTCAGCATTTAATGGGGTATGCTTCCTATGCTCTGACTCTGGGCTGTACTGAAGCATTACAAGAATGCAGGTAACAGCTGCATTCAAACGTGGGCATTCAAAAGCACTTTTTGGTTTTGCACAATGGGAGTGCCCCTTTTACAGGAAAGAGGAGTGACCTCATGGAATTATCCCTTTGAGGAAGAAAACTAACAGGAGGGGAGAGGAGCACTGCAAAAATCTAGGCCCATGCTGTACCATGGTGTTAGTACCAGCAGGAGTTAACTTAATTTTTCCTAAATGTTTTAATAGATAGAGCTCTTGGTACATGTGGTAATGGGAGCTATAAACACTAACATGCTGACCTCCTTAGTTGTAATTAATATGTTTTGAATCTTTTCTGTGTCTGTCTTTTCCTTCTTACCTATTCATTATCTATAGTAAGTGAAGGGATTAGCATGCAATTGCAGCTGTGCCCCAGCCCTTCTGATTATCACAAAGGTGCATGAAGAACTGAGCAGCTCAGTGAGGTGACTCAGACCACAGGAACCTAAGGAAAGCAGCAGTAGGATTCTTGAACTCCTCACAAGGCACATGAGAACTTGGGCAGTCCTACTGGGTGAGTGCCACTGAAGAAACAGGACCTAATGGGATGGTAGGCAGCAGCATTTTGTGCTGTCCTGTAGTGCAAGGAGTGATCAAACAAGAGATTATTGCAAACATTCTGAGAGAAGTGAACTAGTCATACATGAGACTATAGGTTGCACCATGTGAGTGATAGAAAATGTGTTTGCCACAGCAGATACTGGAGAATATGGGTGGTAGAACAGAACTCCCATCTTAGAAACTGTGTGCTAAAACCTTTTTACATGTAAAGCTCTGCTGCGTATGTGCAGCGTATATCCCAGTCTTACTGGAGTGATAACACTGCAGAGGAGGCCATCAAGGCCTTATTTCCTTCTGCCCTGGTCATGGTATGCTGGTCAACAGTTAAAATGGCTGAGAGTTATGTGTCATTTGTGCCATTGAACCTTTGAATTCCTCCTGAAAATCTCTCCCTTGTAGGGTTCCTGCTAAAGCCCAGCACACCTGCAGTGTCCATAAAGTATTTCTCCAGCACTCCTCCCAGACCTCCAGCTCATGATATCAAAACTCTGTGATGTGACATCTTGTCGTGTCTCATGTCTCCTTGGGTTCTGAGGTCTCCTTTGCACTCCCTCTAACCCACTATTGTTATCTCCTTTTCTCCATGCAGCTGGACATCTCATCCAGATGTCATAGCCTGACCTCAGCTGCCCTAATGCTTGTCCCAAATATGACCAAACCTCCATCATTCAAACCTGAAACCTCTGGAGGAACAATTACAGTACAGAGGAGACATGAGACAAAGGGGAAAGAATGGTTAAGTAAGATTAAGATGGTATAAAACATGAGGAGGGAGAAAGGATAGAAGAAAAAACAAATTATAATAACTGAGAAAAAGAGGAAAATGGCATTTTACCTATGAGGTATTGAGATGGACAAAGAAAGAAAACACTTTGAAATCCAAGGAGTCAATTGTAAAGAAAATATGGCAGGGAATGGAAAGAGGAAAAGAAAGAGGAAATCAGGAACTAAAAGGCAGTGGACACAAGCATTCAAAACAGAGATAAAGGTATGTCACTCCTCTTTTTTTCAAAGCAGTCTTAATAGGCTGGTCCTTTAAAATGAAAAATAACTAAAAATCTCTAATCTAGAAAATGTCATGGCACTAAATGCTGAGGTTCTGACCAGGGTTCTGACCATCTGGGCTTACCTGATATGCACACTGTGAGTACTTCCTAGCTCCCAGCTCTCTCTTCTTTTTTCCTGTCCTTAAACACTGAGAAAAGATGGTTCCTTGGCCCCTAGCAGTCCAGCTTTTCCTCCCAAATACTGCTTATTGCAGCCTTCTCTTTCTCAGCTAATACTCTGTATATTAGTTTGCTCCCTTCCTGTTTAATTTCTTTGGCTGAGGAAATGTAGCATCCTTAGGAACTGATAACTATCTAGTAAGGAGCTGCAAGTTTCTACATCTGTTAATATGTACTTTTAAATATTGAGCAAGTTGTTTCTCCAATTTTGCAATTTCTGCTGTTCAGCTGGATGACACCCAGTCTTAAAAGCAACTCATGCTCCAAATTCCTCCTTCAGCTGCATTTCTTTTAACTTATTATCTACTTTGTAAATACAGGATATTTAATAATGGTTGGTTTTAATAGTCAATATGACAGCCTAGAATTTGTTGAAGATTAAATGCTTTGGTCCCACATACAGAAAATAATTCAGAAAATCCTTCATAGATGTTTAACAAACACCTTTTCTAGTCACTCTTAATCTCTGGTGCATAATTTCTGCTGGTGAAGGGGTTGATGGCCTGTAACCCACAGCTGGGTTTGGACATGGGGAGGAAGAACTGTACTGCTCATATTGCACTTGTGCTGGTTTCATATCCTATCATGGGGGATAGGATAAACTTGCATGTAGTCTGCAGGAATGTGGAGAATGAACAGAGATTCAAAAAACTTTGGGAACTGCTCCTGTGAACTCTAATGCTGGGAAACTTTCTCCAAGTACAGAAGACATCCCAAAGTGAGAACTCCAGTCACGGAGGACTTTCTAACTCTACAGGTAACCACTGAGGACTGTACATTTGTAACCTGCATAGAATCTGAGAGAGATGAAACAGAGTATAAATTTGCACTTCAATTGGGCAGCTCTAAGACTGGAATGGTAAATTCTGGGCTTTATCCAGTGCATCAGTAACTGTAACATGAAAGAAATGTATACAGGTATTTAACTGTGAGTGCAATGGTATATGAAGTCATTAATGATGGTGGCACCTCTACTGGGAAAGGAATACCTCTCAGTATCAGAGGTTTGTTCTAGTTATATGCTAGATGCATACAAATGCTGATGCATCTATACAATGGATATAAAATGCCATACTTTTCTCAGTATGATCTTAACATTCTAGTTAAGAATACATTCTAGTACTTTTAAACTTTTTGCTTTAACATTTATTTCCCAGAAGATTCATTTTCTCTTGTTTCTGGGGTAGGATAATGAACAGCAGTAATGCCCCTGTCTCCTGTGAGTTTTCTCTCTTGCTCCAAATCTCCTTCCTTCACTAACTGCACAATGGTGGCCTAAGACACAGCTCCTGCAGGAAGAGGATGTAGCTGAGCCAGAACTCCAGAACTCCCATCTGACTCTGCTCTCCAATACTGTTTTCTGTATAGAAGTATTTATATGTCTGAGAATGGTGAGGTGGTCACAGACAATCCTGGTTGTGCTTCCACCATGTTAGAATAATCTCAGGCTCATTTTGCCTGTTCAAGGCTAGGCAAATGTTTATTGTGTTAAGGCATTTAGGAGGACACTGGTTGTCAGGTGTTTTGGTCCAGTCCAGGACTGTGATTAAAAGGAATCACAAAGCTACATTTGAACTTGGTGAAAATATGTCACGTAGCTCCATTTCTCCACAGCTTGTCTCTGCAGTCAGATGTAATACAGGTACCTTTGCCAAGGGAGTGATGCTTCTGCAAACTGTGTTGCAGGATGAGTAAGAAACCTAAGCAGTAGAAGTACAAGGTTGTGCTGATTTTGGCACATTCTGTGTGATAAACAGATAAGACTGTGATATCACTACGCTAAAGGAGTAGTGTGCAATTTTGCTGCCAGGGCAACTACATTTAGATCTTTGAAACAAGTGGGTTGTTTTCCTTCGTCTAGCCTTAAATTATTCAAATATGTAATGAAATAAAATATTTCCACTTGAAGCATCTGCTTTTCATTCTAAAAGTTGAAACCATCCAGATTTGTACATTCAGATTTTTAAATGAGATGGCACTAGTTCAGTTGTTAATGAGAACCTTGCAGTTTTCTTTCTTTATGTTGTTCCCTGTAGAGTGACTCAGATGGGAGCAGAGTACCTTGATCTAGCTGAAGGCTGTACAGATCATTATAGATAGCCAAGTGTGCCTGTAATGGGGAATTCACTCTGCAGACATGGAAGTCTGCACACAGAATCCATCTTTCCTCTCCAAAGGCTTCCTTGAGGACAGAGAATCTCACCTTTCTTATGGTTCACCAACTTTAGAGGGATTTCTATTGCTTATCATCAGTTGTGATGATGGTTCTCTGAACTACCCAGCCTTGGGAAAGTTGTTCCACCCTAATGACAATTATCCTGGTATTTTTTGTATCACATGGCAGGTTTTCCAAGGTCAACCAGGTCTTCTTTTCTAACCAGATTTAAAAAAACAAAGCAAAACAAGAAAACCCCCACAAAAACCCAAAAAAACAAAACAAACAAACCCCTACAAATCCCTTCCCCCTTCCTGCCCCCCCCGAATGATTGTTGTTCTCTAAATTAAGCTGCAAAAGGAGCTCTCCAGGTTGTAGCTCGGAGTGTCCGTGACCTGAGGCCAAAAGATGCTCTTGTACTTCCAGTGTGGGCAGAGCTACTTTTCATGCTGGAAATGCAGATGCCATGACACAGCCTCCTGTTACTGGAGCTTCTAGTTTGTTATTCATTTGTTTTTCTCCGTTTGAAGATGGTAATTTCCACTGGGTAAGCCTGGAGATGTTCATCTGCTCTTTTGTTCATGTTCTTTGGTTGAACAAATCTCTGTAAAATAAAAGTGATAAAACTTAACCACTGGATAGTGTATTCAATTCATCTTGACAGGAGTTTCTCACAGTTGTTATTAAAAGTTCAACTGCCTTTCTCTGGAAAACGTATAAAAGCATAACTCTTACCTGCTTTGCACAGCTATTATGTATTTTCTTGTCACTTTTTTGCTGTATTTAACATACTGCGGGGTGCAGCAATAATCCTGGGTCATGCCTGGAGCCATAGGCATTGACTTCAAGACATCTGTTACCCGCTGCAAGCATCCACCTCCTTCTCCCCTGCTGTCCTATCCCACTCTGCTGCTGCTGCTCCTAGCCAAAATCACCTCCTCTAGTTACAGATCACCCCTGAAAAACAAAGTCCAGGCCCTGCACCCACACTGTGTCCTCTCCCCTGGGAGGAAGGAACGGGAGCAGCCCAGGAAGATCTGGGAGCTGCATGCCCATGCAGTGATCTGTCAGGTGGTGGGATGGACATCTCCAGGGGTTCCTGTGTGCCACAGGGCTCTGCCCCTCTGCAGGCACCGAGCTCAGGTCCCCCTGCCAACAGGGAGACATTGACCACCGTGCACTGGCTGTGCCAGCAGGCAGGGAAATCACCACCAGCTGTTCAGATGGCCTTTCTCAGGGTCCAGTTTCCCCCAGCCAGGAGCCATCCCTGCTCAGGGCAGGGAAGAAGTGGGTTTGAAGGAGCAGGCCTCGGTGGCAGCACCCTCCATTCTGAGGCTCTGCACACACAGAAAAGGGTGGCAGCAGTGCAGGACCCGTGGGGCAGGCGCAGGCTGGGAGAGGTTCCCAGCCAGAGGAAGGTACCAGATTCCTTTTGGCTGTGGTGCTGTAAGGTCCTCCCCTGGAGCACTCTATCCTCGGTGCTCCACTGCCTTCGCAGTGGGAGGGGAGCCCTTTACTTAGAGAGATGAGATGGGTGGGGCCTCGGGTCATTTTATAAAATAACAAGTCATTGACTCCCACAGGAGTACATCCTGCAAACATGTCTTGGGAAGTGCTGCCAGTGGAGGTACCAGGAGCAGACACTGAAAACGTGTCTCTAGAGCTGCTCCCCACAGAGGTGCCAGCAGTAAATCCTGAAAATATGTCTCTAGAACCGCTGCCCACGGAGGTGCCAGGAGTAGAGCCTGAAAATATCTCTCTCGAATTGCTGCCCGTGGAGGTGCCAGGAGTAGATCCTGAAAACACGTCTAATAAAGGATTCCTGCCCATGGAGGAGCCAGGACTGTATCCTGAAAGCATGTCTAAAGGATTCCTGCCCATGGAGGAGCCCGGAGTAGATCCTGAAAACATGTCTCAAGAATTGCTGCCCATGGAGGTGCCAGAAACACTCTATTACATGAATAAAGGGAAGACCATGATACCATCAAATGCACTACAGGTAAGAAAACAGCTTTAAAGTTTCACTTAAGGTCCTCTGCATTTGACAGAAAACAAAATCCTGCTTTGTGAGTGTGTTTGTATTCAAGCTAGCGTGCAAATTTGCTGTCTGATGGGACTATACAGCAGTTCCTCTGTCTGAAGGAGTTTAAGTTGAAATTTTCTCTTCAAGGCTGTCAGTGGAAAAAGTCCTTCTGAATCCACCAGAGCCAAAGATCTCATCTTCATAGACAAAATGAGAGAAGTCAGAGTAGTATAGGGCCAAAAAAAGATAAGAAAGGGGGAAAAAATTAACAGGGAGAGAAACATCCTTCAGGGGACTGAATTGTCAGCCTGTTTTCTTCTGCAATTAAATGCTACTTTTATTAAAATTTTCATATTTCTGTATAAATAACAGGATTTTACATGTATAATAACGTGTCAAACACATTTTTTTTGTTACTGAAAATGGGATAAGGGCAGGATAGAGACCAGGAATAGAGAATTGAATTTCACTTACACATTACCTTTTCGGTTCTGAATTTTTTCATTTTGCTTTGCATTCTCTGCATTGTTTCAAGATTTGCATTTAGTTTTAACTGTAGCACATTATGCATTGTTTTGTGTGCTCCCTGGCTGGATGAAGGCACATCACTTCAGGAAGTGTTTTGCAAACAGAATATTTTAAACATTTCTTTGTAGATACTGTCCTTTAATGGTGCTCTATAAAGTGCTTCAAAAGGTGGCACCCTACACTGTAGAGGTGTTTTGGAGCTTCTCTTTCCTGAAAGAGATTGAAACATTAGATTTAAAATTTTACAACTGCAGTGTTTTGTATTCTGTGTTCAAACTCACAGAAAATATTCTGGAATATTTTAAACTGAGCTTTAGTATTGCTAAGAGCAGGAACAGGTTGCCAAAAGTTCACATTCAAAACAAAAAGCAAACCTTTTCCACTGGATTAATATAGAGACACCTTTTAGATATCTTACAGCTGTGATAGTCTTCATTCATTTTCTCACTGAAAGGGTACCCCTGACATGGATTTTGTGCCAGTGTGCACCAAAATATGTGGTGGTTTGTCCATTAATCTGAGTGCGGTAACACAGCTGGGCGTAACCAACAGCCCTTCTAATCGAGGTTTCATCATAAATTATTGCAAGTAGAAATTAATTATCTATCCTGGTAATGCTGCTGCTGTTGTTTAAACATTATAATTTATTGGTTTTTCTTCCTTTCTTCAGGATGGAAGCTCAGGGCTTGGTTCCTTGGGAGATGGTGAATGGCAAAGAAGGAATGCTGACAGCACTGGGCCAGACCAAGGTGATTTCAAGGTATTAAGAACAAGAGAATTTAGAACCAAAGAATGCTAAGGCTTTTGTTTTTCTCAAAAGGGGAGAAGTCTCAGGTAGATAAAGAATGATGGCAGCAGCTTGAGTGTTAAAGGGAAATGCCCGTAAATCTATTAATTGAATAATTTCATTCCTCTTATGTTTATGATTTTCATAGAACATTGAATAGTTTGGGTTGGAAGGCACCTTTAAAGATCATCTTGTTCCAAATTTCTGCAGTGAGCAGGGACACCTTCAAGTAGACCAGGTGGCTCAGTTTCCATAATTGCTTGTTTTATTCCTGTTACATTTTATTTTGAACAGGCTGAATATTTAGTATTTTTGTGCCTCACTTACTTGTAAGAGAAATCCACAGGTGAGCTTTCTGTTCCACAATACTTTTTGTAACTGGAAGGACCAAAAGTGACAGTGAGACATGCTCTGCTGCCAATGGCTTTGGTAGTGTGATCTCCATCCTTGCAATTTATGAGGCGGTCCTGGATTGTTGAACCCTGATCTTTCGCAACTTCTGTGCTCCATCAGGAAAGGAACTGTAGTGGGATTCTGTAAAATGAGTGATAGGGCTATTTCTTGTGCATGAGTGTCAGCCAAAGATTTTTTTTTTTGTTAGAAATTACTGGTTTTGATGTGAGTTCTCATTCTGCTACTGTTCACTGAGTCTGGGCATTATTTCCTATCTGTCAATGGAGAAGTTTAAGAATGATTCATATAACAATTTTGTCCCGTGAAGTGCCTGCTTCTGAGGCAGATAATTCTGTGAAAATTTGCCCTATTGTTCATGCAGACAAGTTCTACTGAGGCAAAATGAAGCTGAAATGGAGCTTTGTCTGAAAGTTGAAATCATACTGTGAACAGGCACACAGGTGAGCTTTGTAATAAGCTGCTTACCAAGTAGTTCTGCTGCAATTTGGGTGCTCACAAATTCAAACAAATTCTTATTCATATTCACAATATTCTTTGTTTTTTCACATGCACTCTTCAAAATTTAGCTATTGTGTTTTCCCAGCATTAGGATTACTACTATTAAAAAAACCCCAGTGGGGTTAAAAGATTAGACTGTATTTTCACAGGATATATTGTATAATAAGTCTAGGGTCTTTGTGGTATTTCATCTTACAAATATTTAGGTTGCAGTGTCTGGTATCTACAGCCTGGGGAGATACTAAAATTCTGGACCATGTCTAGGATGAAGAATTATGTAGATAGTAAAAGCAGGCAGAAAAATTTTATTGATCAGTTTTTGGTATAATATCTGTTCCTTACAAGAGGTCAGGAACTTAAAAGCATGATGAGAGGAAGAAAAAAGATTTGAGCTCCTGGGTTATAATTACTTACAATAATTATACATCTGACAAGTAACTTGTCTCCATTTCTTAATCCCACACAGTAATGTGTTTGTTTTTCCATTGTGTGCTCAGGATATAGACTTTAGATCAAAGATATTTAATGGTCATTAAATTTCAATGCTACAGATGTGACAGTAGCGGACTAAAAGAATCATCTGATATATCCATAACCTTCTTCTAGACCACTATATTGGTCCTGTCTCATACTGAAGGATTCTTTTTTACAGTATAAAATTACAAATTTCATGACAATGCATTGGTGATGGACTGAGTTGTTTTTGCATGTTGTTACAGAGGTGCTGTTTTTGTCTGTGTTCACAATTCCACTCTCCATCCTATGCACTTGCATGATCATTATCAGGCTACATCAACAATCATATGTTCATGTAAAGGATGCATATACATTTTTCTCTCCTCCTAGTTTTTTCTCAAATATTAATTTTTCACCACTGAAACTGCCAGAAAACTTAAATATGAGGGTATCTGCTTGCTCAGAGGAATTGTCTGTTAGAAATACATGACAGCATTTGTCAGCAACTGCATGTGTCTTTTGCATCAACATGCTGATTTTTATCTGTGTTAAGAAATCTGTATTATGTGGGTCTAGGCTGGTACTTAGATCCACGCTAAAGTAACAGGAGGAGACCGTTCTGGTATTTCAGACATCAGTGTTTATACCAAAATATTTGAGAATTGCAGCAGGCTTCATATAATAATGCATGTGAGGGAAGGGGAACAATTGGATGCATAGTTCTAAACTCACCATGAGCCATGTTTTAATAAGGCTAAGATGCATCACTTCTTGGGTCAAGTCATACCTCATTTCCCTGCCAGATATGGGCTTCTTGTTCTTTCAGGGTTTGTGCAGCTGGGACAGCTGCTGCCCTTAAGCAGAAGAGGAACAGGATAAATTCTCACCCTTGTGCAAAGCAGGAACTCTGGTTTCTGCTGGGTTTTGGGAGTTGGAAGCAGCCCTTGAGATCATGGGAAGAGTGGGGAGCTGCCACACTGCAGAGCAAGAATAGGAGCAAGTTGTGACATCTGCTTCTGGTGCAGGTTGGGCTTGGCAATGTGAACAGGAGCTGAGGCAGGCAGGAGGGCTGGGTCCCTGCTGGGGATGGGCTCCTTGACTCCCACAGGGGCTAGAGCCTGCTGTCAGGAGCAGCTCCAGCCCCAGCCTCAGCATCAGCTGGAAAGGCAGGAGTCAACAACTCCTGAGCCACCCCCAGCCCCCACTGCTTGCAGCAGCATGGCTTCAGCAGCAGCAGCTCTGCTCAGCTGCAGAGCTGGTCTGAGCCCAGGTACCTCCTCTGCCACCCTGAGTGCTGGTATGGGGTTGCCTAAAATACAGACTGCTGAAATTACATGTTCCAGCATGCCTCCCACTTCAAAAATGAACCTCATAAAATCAAATGAGGACACATCCCGTCAGCTCAAAGCTTTGAAATATGGTTTGTCTAATCCATATTTGACATCAAAAATGCAAAACATCTGTACCTGAGATAGACCTATAAATACCCTTGAGAACTGGTAGTCAGAAAGAGAGATTTCCAGAGTGCAATGCATGGCCTGTGGTAATGGGGATAAGAACCCAGAAATGTTCAACAGCTGTCAGAAATTATCACTAATCATACAGCTATCTGGAATTAGGTCTAAAGAGTCTCAAAGCTCAAATGGTTCATGCTCAGCCTAGTTTTTTTCTGTCATATTTGTTCTACTTAGGGAGGGCTATAGAAAGGCACTGTTTTTTTTTTATGGATGGACAATTGCTCTGGATACAGTTTCACATATGGAAATAATTTTGAACATGCAGTTGAACAGTTAAAGTTTTCAAATAGATCTGTTTTTCAAAATCTGAAGAAGTCTGATTGTTAAACATCTGCAAACACTAAAACATGAAGGTAATGTTGACAGCATTGAAAGAGCTATGCATCTAGCCTGAATTACCAATCAAATAATACATCTCTGCAGATTTATATAAGTAATAGAAATAATAAATAATGCTATTATTTATTAAATATTATACATCTCCGCATTTTTATAGGATCACTGTGCAGTGAGAGTATCCATCTTGTGTTGATCAGTATTTGAGGTTTTGTTTTCTGGGAATGTCTTCCAAGCACAGTATAATGTGTCATTCCTCAAAAGTTTTCTGAGTCCCATGATGGATATATGTATGAGGAAGCAATCATCTGAAGGATACAATTCTTGTGACCTTGCATATACCTGTCATGCTTCTGTGGATGTGGAAAAATTTCCCCTGCTGGAGCCAGGGTTTCTGTGGCTGTATGCCCCAAAGGGGCTTTTCCATCTGGGTGTGGGTATTTCTAATTCATTGATATCCAACCAAGACTTCTGCTGCTCCTGGTGAAAAGATGGTCTGATGAGAAGAAGAAATTGTACTACTAAAACCCACGAAACACACAGCTTGTGAAAAGCGCTGCTGTGGCAGCAGTGATCGTCAGTATCAGCAGCATGCCCACGCACAGCCCCACAGCCCTCGGCTGAGGTGCCCTCCCCAGCCTGGAGGAGGTGAAGGAAGGAAGCAATTAGAGCATCTTTTCCGTCGTGGAGCCTGATTTTGTCAAGAATGAGGAAGAAGTTCAGAGAGGTGGCCAAGAGCAGCAGGTCTGGGCAGCCTGCCACAGGGGATCCCAGCACATCCCACAGCATCCCATGGCTGTAGCAAGCTGGGGCAGGGATTGGTGAGTGATGTTCACAGCCTGAAGCATCCTGACTACAACTGTAAAAAACTCACATGCGCTCTGTAGGGAGACCTGGCTCTCAGGCAGCTCAAGATAGACTTTCACACACCACCAGCTCTAGATGCACCATCAGCAAGGAATGATTTGGTCCCTGGCTACCGTCTAGTTAAATTAGCACTTGGAAATGAAGAAAGGAGTGCCCTGCAACATCCTGGGAGTGATTTCATCTCAGCAGAATGCTTCTCTGGGCCAGGAATGCAGGAATAGCTTAGACAAGGCAAGGAAGATATCTTTGCCAGGAAAGGCTGCTGAGCTAGTAGATGACATGGAAACACATGGAGGAATTATTCCTGGGTGATTGCAGGAATAATGTGTGGATAGAGAGGAAGGTGACATATACATAGATGACACATGTTTTTTCAGGGATTTTTCAGTCATTGTAAAAGGTTTGATTGTGCTAAAGGTATTTTTAAAGCTTGTCTGATCTTTGCAGGATGGTTTGTGGAATATTACACAATGCAATTGGACTCAAATAGGTAATGGTACCAGTGCACTGTGGCACATAGTTTTCTTTGCTTCCTCATCACAGTTTTGCACCCAGCATTACAAAGACCACTACTCATGAGACCAGATGGAAGACATTCCACATTGAATGTCATAGAAAATCAGCAGCTGAGTGTCTGTTTGGAGGATACCTGCTTATTGATGGTGATACAGTTTTCACACACACAGACTGAATGTGAATTTTAGGATCTCTGCATTATTCTTCTGTTAGTTTATAACTGCTTTGGAATAAATACCAATCTAAAAAGAGCAACAATCAAGTCTGAGAATGTACTGACTGTTCCTGAAGGTTCAAGTTCTCTTCTCTGGATCGGTGTTGTTGGTCTCTGTTTTGGAAAGGCAGCTACAATATTCTGCTATCTGATGGAACATCTGTTGTAAACCAAGTACCTAACACTAAAAAAAAAATCTGAAAAGCATTCACCCAGCACACATTTGACAATACTGTTGTGGAATTGTGTGACTGGGGTAGTCTGCAATAAGTGAAGGAATGAATATTCATACTATTGGTATTGAAAGCGGGAAAGATGAAGCTAGCAATCATCCATGCTGGCAGAGTCTGTTAGATGAAGAAGCCTAAAGGCTGAAGAAAGCAAGCTACCAAGAGAAAACCAAGTTAAAAAAATGAAAAAGGTAAAGAAGTAGAGTCACTCCCTGCTCTCATGGACTCTTGCCTCATTAAGGAGTCCTGCCATTTTAGAGCTCCACAGCCACTTGGGACAGGATGTATTTTACAGCTAAATGTGGAGTAATTTACAGCAGTGCTTCTTGAGATGGATGCATGCCATACATACCAACACCTGAATAGAAGCATGACTTTAAAGAGGCCTGAGATATACCTGCAGAGGTACAAATGTTCCAGGAATGCAGACAGCCTGCATTACCAGAGTGCTCATGATAGAGAAATTTCTGTTTTCAAATTCTTACTCCTCAGCTAGGAGAAAGTGGGGATCATGCACATAACAGAGGAATCCCTTACTTGTACCAACATAGTAACTTAGTGCCAAGTAGTGTCAATGTTGTTCTTTTTTATGGGAAGCACAATAAAATCAGAAGAAGAGACTGTGAGGTCTGTTCTGCACTAGATGGAGTTGCTGTTTGGAGAATCCCAGTAAAACTTTATTTAGTTGGGATTTCAGGGAAACTAGCACTGTACACCCTACTCATGCACTGGCACCTCAGAGTGCTGTACTGCATACAGATGTGCTACACACACAAGCACAAGCTGGGCAGCACCAAACTGAAGACAAGCAGACAGTTTGCTGTGGTGGAAACCTCTCTGTATGTGGAACCTCATTATATAGCAGCAGCCTTTTTTCTTTTTTTCTTTTTTTATTGTTAAAAAATATCATAATAGGTGTTAAGTAAGCAGAATAACAGAACCTCTGTCTTTTGTTTTATACATGTGTGACTGCTATTTTCTTTGTCTCTATAACTAGACCCTGGTACGTCATGTTATAGTTGTCACAGTTACTATTTAAATATATTTCTTTTGTTTAAGATGTTACTGGAATTAATTAAAATAGCAAATCCTCCTGGGAGCAGAAGAACTAGCAAGGCCTGATCACCAGGTGAATTATGCCCTCCCTATTGTCATTGCTACCACCACCAGCAGGTGCCGGGGCTGTTGGGATGACTGACGCCTGGCTCCTGCCTTTTCCTCAGGTTCCAACTGGCTGATGGCATCTGCCTCTCCCCTAGTGCAAGCACACATCCTGATTTCTGTAGCTTGTTAAACCACTGATTTTTAATTTTTTTAATTTTTTTTTTAATTTTTTTTTAAATTTCAGTAAATCCTTTTGTGAATCCTGCCTGTCTGAGAATTGATTTCCCCATACCGGACAGGGAAAATCTGGCTACCATGTTAGAAAGTCATTGCGTGGGAACCAGGAAGAAGGTGATCACATGGCAGAAACCATCTAATATTCCCTAAAAAAACCCCCAAATCCCAACCCAAGTTTTCACTGGTCTAAGAATCACAAATTGCTTTGCAAATGATGATTTCATTGGTTCTCACTCAAGCAATGCCACTTGTCAGAGGAAGTGTTGCTGGAGCTGATGCAGGAGCTGGCAGCACCTTGCGCAATCTGGAGCTAAATGCCTGCCAGAATTTCCCCCATGTTTATGTAGATCCTAAGGAACAATGAGTTTCTGCCTTCTAGGGCATATGCTGAGGTGCCTAAACCCATTCCTAACATGTGAGTGTGGTGATCCACCTTTGCTAATTACCCAGCTGAGAAGAAGGGTAAATTAACAGGGTGTAGAACTGTATTAACATGGCTATACTATTTCTAAAATCTGAACCAGTGTCTTTGCACGGAGTAGCTCTGAGGACATATCCTTCCACCAGTTGTCTGCAAATTTTGCAGCTTCTGTAAGGTTATTCTCTTTTGAGAACAATTGAAATAGAAGGTAAATAGATTTCCTAGGTTGAATTTCATGAAGAAGTACTAAAAAAAGAAAAAAACAGAATTCTAGAGACACATTTAAGAGGAGTGGAAAGAGCAATGGTTTTTAAGAACTCTGTAAAAAGATTTTAATATAACATGATATGTTAGAGGAGAGAATAAAGGATTTTAATCACATATTGGAAAAAGTAATTTGTTGTGATGAAAGAGGCATAATTATTTTTCCATCTGTAAATAGACCCTTTTGCTCTGTTCTCTTGAGAAAAAAGTTGGTTTAAGTGAGGTTCTTCCAGCTTCTTTTTTAACATCTATTTTGTCTGCTTGCTTATAGTTGTTATAGGAAGTCTCTGAAGTGTTACAGAAATAGAAAGATTCTCCTAAAAAAGAGGAAACCTATTGATAAAAATAGCAATTTTCAAAAAGAATGATTTGTGGGGCTTTTCTGTAACCACTTATGCAGGTGGAAATATTTCTAGGAGTGTGAGGAAATAACCATGTGTCACAGCCACAGGAAATGTTGATTTATTTATTGGCTTGGTCAAAATAGCCTTTTGCAGATAGCTCTGAGCCAGACAAGTTTATGGAATGAGCCAGCAGGAAATCGTCTTCCTAAGAAGGAGGAACTCACATTTATCTTATAATAATAAGTAGGAAGAGGTCCCTGCAGCCACAAAACCTGGAGAGACTTGCTTTATAGAAGATTAAGGCTGAGATATTTGAAGGGAAGAAAGGAAGTTAACCACTTTCAGTCTTCAGGGTTTTTTTTGGCGGAAGGTAGTATTTTTATTTTTCTCCAAAGGCAACCAATACCTAAATCTTTAGATCCTAAATCCTCTGGAAACAATTTTCAGCCATTGGCTTGTCTCATAGTCGTGATTTACAAAAGCTCAAGTTACTGTTACACTTTTTCTTGTACAACTGTAAATTGCAGGAAATCTATGTTTCTGAAGCAGAAAGCAAAAACACCTCTCAAAAAGTGGTGCTTCAGGTTTATCCCATGGGAGTCCACAACAACAGATATTCTCCAGAGCACTTTTTTTCAATGCTATGGGACTGTATGGGTGGTTACTAAGGGGATTGACTGCAACTCTGATTAAAACTGATGGCATTTTGACAACTTCATCATGGTTGTCAATGTTGTCATGGTTGTCAATGAACACATCAGTGTTCAAGAGGCTCACAGTAGTTATGTTGTAGTCTAGACTCAGCAATTTCAAAGTGAAAGGTTTTGCAAGTGTCTCACAGGCTGTGTAAATTGTCAGGGATTTTTTCCTGTGTTTTCTGTTTGGATGAGCCATCTGGAGTCTCAGAGCAACAAAACAAAAAGACAGTGAAATATATAAAATGTTAAGAAATTTTTAAAAACAGAAGCTTCATCTGCAAAATAGTGAGATAATTGACCCAAGTTTTACTAACTGTATTTGTGCTTTGTGGCACACAGTTTATTTGCACATTTGAAACTTTTTTCCCACCAAAGGCTTATTCAGACCCCCTTTTTATTGTTCCTCTCTAGATAGAATCCTCTCCTTGCTACCTGTTGACCGTCAGGATCATCCGGATGAGAAATCTCCGGCGAGTGGATGCCTGTGAGTATCTCCATTCTTAGTGGTAGCTCAGGAAACAGGAAAATCATATTTTTTATAGTTTTGTAACAATCTTTTCTTAGTGTTTCTGAAATAACCCAGTGTTTATGTAAATTAATTGTTACAAACCAGGTCAGTCCTTGCTGCTTGCTGCTGTTTCATTGTTCTCCCGCTGCTTTCTCACTAGTTTTAAGACTTGAACGTGTTTCTGTGAATAAGTACTTTCTGTCAAAGAAAGGAGAGTTTCTGTCAGAGGTAGATGAAAGACTCCATTCCATGTTTTCAAAAACAAGGGGTAATTCTGCTGATGAGTAGTAGCACCTTGGAAAATGTGGCTGGGAGGAGCAAACCTTTTCAACATCCTCAATCTCCACTCTGACAAAGATGAATTGAACAGGAAAAAGCTTTTTACAATCATTACCACCAGGCTAATGCCACCATTAATTACCCTGAAAGAACAGTGGAAAAAAACTGTTCTGAGGGCTGGATGCCCCGTCCTTTCTAAGGCTTCTGCAGGAGTCTTGCAGTTGTGCAAGAGTGTGAGTCTCGTGGCAGGAAAGTGGTGGGAAGGGAGTAGGTTGGAAAGGAAAACATCACTGTTTTGTAGAAGAACATGGACTATCCACATGTGTGCTGAGGAGAGGTGTTTCACACAAAATAGACACGTTAATTGTTCGGTTTATTTGAGTAAATAGATTTACGTGACTGCCTGTGGAAGGATGCTGAAATTAGTTTGAGAGTGAGCACGGAAGGGAAATGATGTAACCCTCATGATTCTCTTGATTCTCCTGTTTCACTGTGAGCTGCAGTGATTGGCTCTATAATGTCTTGCGCATGAAGAGTCAGGAAAGATCTTCTGATAGACAAAGATCTGGATTTACCATGCGGTACTGTTCCCATCTTGCCTTGTGGTTGTCACGTGTGTTTCCGGAAGGTGCACCAGAGGACTTCCCTGTGTCACAGCGCTGACTGAGGGAGACAACAGCTGTATCCTAGGTCACATCACTGGGCTGCACGCTCTGCACCTCCCTCCTGGTCCACAGCTGTGGCACATGTGTGGTGAAGCAAGAACACTGAAAGGTCTCATCAGGGACTCAGATCATCTGCATGTCAGGCAACCAGGCAAATAATGAGGTTATAGAAAGAGGTTGTGCAAGCAGAACTGAGGCAACATTTTGCATTAAATACACAGCTGACTAGTTTGGCTGCATCTACTCATATAATTAAGGATTGCTTGATATGCTTTGTATCTCAAAGTACAGTTAAGATACAGGAATGATGAATCACATCAGCAGAATAAAGTACTTGCCAGCCAAACAGCCATCAGTCATTGATCTCAAATGATAAAGCCAAAGTCATATAGTAGTTACCAAAAATCACTTTTAATGCATTTTAAAATCAGTAGCATTACTTCTAGATTCTCCAGATATATTCGAATGCATATTTTTGCAGTTTCAAAGTTCTTCAAAACAGTATTGTCTGCATGGAATTTCCCAGATTAAAAAAAAGAAATAACACTTGAGGAAACAGAATAACAACTAAAACAACTTTTACATTCAGGGGGACTGAAAAGGCTACAGTCCTTAAGAGTGAAATTATTGAGGAGGGCATGGAAGCTCTCACTACGAAAAAGGAAGAGGCAAAGAAAGTGAATAAGAATAAGGAGTAATTTTTCACAAGGAGACTAAGAAACAAGAGTGGTGTGAAGGTAGAATTAAAGCAGATGATATGACTTTAGACAGGTGCAGTGAAATTGCTGCCAGAATCTCATTTTTAAAGCCAAACTAAGATGTGAAATAGAGCAGGAGGGGGAGAAGGCTAGGGCCTACATAATATTTTCCAAACAAACTTTTCCATCAGAAGAATTTTTTTTTTTACTCAGGAATATCATGATTTCTCCACAACTTTTTTTAGAAAAAAGATTGACAGAATTAAACTTTGTTGCTGTTGTTTCTGCATTATAATTTAATAAAGGAGGAAAGCAATAATTAAGGTATCTATTGACCTATCACAATGCTTACATAATTTTTCAAGCAGTTCTGGATTTTTTTCCACTGTCACTCAGACAGAAAAGCAGCAAGGCTTCTTGAAAACTTTCAACAGCATAAAATGCAGCCTCAAAACAGTTTGAGATAGTCTGTAGCTGTAGGATGACATGGGGCAAAACTTGGTGGAGAAGGAAAGGAAAGAAGATAAAAAAGGGTCCTGTTGCAGACAGGCAAGATTTTGCTTGTCCCCACAGGTCAGCGTGCAAGCTCTTGTTCCCTGCCCTGCCTGCAGAGTCCTTACCTGCTGCTGCAGGATCATCTCCATTTCTGCTGCCATCACTGGTCTCTCAAAAGTCTCACATCACAGGACATCCATTCCCAAAGCTGGTTACCTTTTGCATTACATAATAGCTGATCATTTTATTGATGAGAACAGCATCAGAGAGATTTTCAGAGTGCTGAAGTACCTTGCATAACCTCCAAGAAGAAACACAGTAAATGGCATTTTTGTCTGTAGCTGTTTGAGCTATACCTCAGTTTAGATGCCTGTGAGAAAGGGGATGTAAAATCCTTCACTACTTTCTCCTGGTGCCTTTTAGGAGAGAGACTTGGTCTCTCTCTTCCTGTAGGTGGCAATTAGTTAAATTCCAATGTCTCATTCAATAAGCTCCTTTTGGAGGAAGCCTCTGCCATCTCATACAGCAGGTGTAGTTCTGCAGCTCCTTTCACAAACCATCACAAAAAAGATCACTGAGAGCAAGGCAGAGATGAAGACGTTTTTCAGTTCTCAAAAAGTGGAGGAGGGTCCCAGCCCCTCTTACCAGACAGCAGCTCAGGGGTTGGTGTGTGTGTGCAAGCATACATGAGCACAGGAAAGCTTATGGCTGAAAAACTGCAGTGGCTGATTAGAAGAAAAAATTCTCAACCTCTTTTTTTATACGCAATATCACTGTTATTGTCCTGGTTTAGGAACATGTCATGCAAGGAAGGACAGAAACCACCTCCTCTTCTAGGTCATCTTGTGGTCAGTGCTTTTTCTCTCTCAGAAGGGAATCTTGAGAAGTTACATTGCATCGGACTTTTCTATCTTTAAATAACTTCTGCTTGTTTTTGGTACCAGCTGCTGCAGTAACCTTTCCAGTATCCTGCAGCACTGCTGCCTTTGCCATGTTAGCAATTGTTTTGCCTCTCCCCTCCCCAGTAAGCCAGGCTGATTGCTACGTGTCCCTGTGGCTGCCAACGGCGACGTGTGAAAGGTCACGCACTAAAACTGTGAGAAATTCTGACAATCCAGTGTGGAACGAAACCTTCTACTTCAGAATCCAGAGTCAGGTCAAGGTAAGGAGCCAAAGTTGTCTGTTTGAGGCAGCCTGAAGATTTTGTGTATCTCCTGAACTGTGCCCAGGAATTATTTAGGAGATGGCACACGATAAATGACTGCTCAAGGCATTTTGCAGCAGAGATGACAGAGTTCCTGTGTCTGGTCAATGGTGCTACGTAGGAGGGCCAGAAAGCAAGCTCGGTTTTGAAGTTTTAGGGTAACAAGAGACTCTTACGAGTCAGTGCAAGATGGATACGGACTCTGGGAGTTACCCAAGCAGCTGTATAGGTATAGCCAATGTGTTTTGTTTCAGCAATTAAAATGATCTAGGCAAGAATGAATATGCAGTTAAGTATGTTTTTCTAAAGGGGGATGGTATTTAATTTCTCAACTTTTCTTCTCAAGTACATCCTCAGCAATACTTTTGCCTGGAGCTAATGATGTCCAGCCTGAGAAACTGTAACAAAGTCTTTTCCCTCTTTTTCCAGAATGTGCTGGAGCTCACAGTGTACGATGAGGATTTTGCTACTCCAGATGACCATCTACTCTGTGCACTCTTTGATACTGCGAAACTTCCACTTGAAAAAACAGTGATCCTGTACTTCAAGCCTAGCCCAGATGTGAGAGCAACTTAGCAACTAAAGCAGCTAAAGAAACTATGAAACCAGTGGAGAGTTACAGAACAGTTTCAAAATTTTTTCATGCACTCAATAATGAGTGCATGAATTACCATTCAAATTATAAGCACAAAAATGTGGTAAAAAAAAAATAATCTGAATTTAAGAGTCTGAATTCCCCTTTGCAATATTTTATAAATTATTAAAGACCACAGGACTGAAACAGTGCAGTAAGTAGGGGAGGGGTCTAATTGTGAGCTATCTCTGAGCAACACCAAGGCCATACACCTGTTGCAGGGTGAATAATCTGTATACTTTTTTCACCAGGGAATTAATAATCTGAGTAATTACTATAATACATAACCCCCTGCCCCTTTGCTTGTGTCTACTGTCACTCCAAAAGGCAAACATGAAGTTGCCCCAGTGTGTGTCCCACTATGAGTGGATAATGATTCCCTCTGTTTCTGTGTCCTGTCTATAAAATGGGAGAAATAATCTTGATTCCCTTTGAGATCTAAGGATGAGATCAGCAAAATGTCTTACATGCAACTTCTTGCTGCCAGGGACAGATTCTGGTATCCAAACTAGGTCATTCACAACCAGCTTGTACAATCAGCACTGCCTTACTTGGGGTTGCATAACACTGATTCTGGATCAGTCACTTATAGTGTTCTCTGTTTATTACCGTAAAGCAATGGGTGTAAAGTATGTTTAATTTCCAAGATAATAGCCAGTAGAGTAAGTCATGGCAGGACAGTGCCAGGAATAGTTGGAAGAAAAGGGTGGAATTCAGAAAATAAGGGAAGCTGCAAACTGTTTTTCTGCAGCAGCTTCATACCAAGAAATAGAAGTGTAGGTTGTTTTGACGATATCATGAAGTCAGAAGGTGAGGAAGGAATAATTTAATCATCTGGCTGAAATGTTGATTCAGACCACCCAGTCTGAAGTATTTCTCACAGGCAATCACATTGCCACCAGTAACTTCAATATTACCTATTAGGGACTTGGGTTTAGACAAGGGACAAAGCATTATGTAGCTGCTTCATTTAATATCTTGTTCTTGCTTTCAGGCCAAGGAGGAACTAGAGGTTGAATTCAAATTGGAGGTTGCGTAAGTGACACAGAGACTATTTTAAAAATGCAAAAATCATTAATGATAAAACAGAACAAAACAAAAAACCCTGCAGTATTAGGAGTCATGCTTTGGGTTTTTCTGTAAAAAAGTAGCCTTCTCCTACATTATTGCTGCAGTCCCCAACACCTGACTGATTAGCTTGTTCTGTAGCTTAGCTGCTCTCAACGATGCATCTACCAGTTATTCAGAGAACTGTGTGGATGCCCCATCCCTGGAACTGTTCATGCTGGATGAAGCTTTGAGCAGCCTAGTCTAGTGGAAGGTGTCCCTGTTCATGGCAGGGGATTGGAAGTAGATGACCTTTTAAGATCCCTTCCAACCCAAGCTAATGATTCTATGATTTATCTATCTGGGGACATTTCAGAAGGCTTTCTGAGTGTGTGAGCATTCCTGCCTATCAATTTTCCATTGCCTGTTTCAGGTTATGTATTGGATGCAGTTTTAGTGTTGAAACATACTAGTTAGGTTTTCAGTCTATCTCCAATTCCTCCAGTTTTCCCTTGCAGTACTCTTTGAATTCTAGTAATTGTGTTTTCTTTCTGCCTAACACAATCACAATGGGATGGGAACTCTTGTAAGGATGTAAGGCTCCTTCTCCAGCATGGTCAGCCTGCCACCCATGAATCACCATTTTTGTCTCTGTGTTGCCACAAGGTAACTAAGGCTTGGCAGAAATAAAGTGACTGATCTAAGGCCAGCCCTCCTGTTAGTAGGGAGCCAAGGCCAGAAATCAAGTCGCTCCACACCATCTCCTGACTTCATCTGAATGGTCTGGAAAGCTTTTGGTTTTTTCCCACGTAATTGGTACTGGCTGCCCTGTGCCACTTTGAAACAGGCTCCCCAGGAAAGTGGTCGCAGTACCAAGCCTGCCAGAGTTCAGGAAGCATTTGGACAATGCTCTTGGGCACATGGTGGGAATCTTAGGGTTGTCCTATGCAGGTCAGGAATTGGATTCGGTGATCCTCATCGGTCCCCATGCAAGTCAAAATATCTGCATGCCAGCAAATACATATAACTGTATTCCCAACAAGGACATGCTGGTGTATTGGCTGAAATACATTTATTTCATGTGTTTCAGTGAGAAGAATTTGACTGCCTAACAGGAGATTCCATTTTAGATGATAAACTATAAACATTTTAGATGTATAAACTATATACAGATAACACTGTAAAAAAACAACCATGCTACACATTGTTCAGCTTTGGTACAGAGATGAGTCTCCTCAGAGCAGTGCTCAGCCCATGCAAGCAAGGGAAGGAGCTTGTTACATACTTGCTAGGGTCTCTCAGACTCTTGTTTGTTTAAGTGGGAAGAAAGGGCAGCATCCTGGGTAAAGATGAGAGGGATTTGTTTAACTCAAAAAAATCCATGTTTTTCATTTTGTTTCCCAGACCTGGTCCTCATGAGATGATTGCTAGCAATGGAGTGCTGGTGGTAAGTATCTTTCCCAAGATATTTTCTTTAAATGATTCCTTAATGTAAAGGGAAAGGGAGGGTAGGGGTTAGGCTCATTCTTTCTCTTTCTTTCCTATTTAGATACATTCAAAATGGGATATTTTATTTACCTGTTCATTGAAGGTATCCCATTCTTCCTTGTTTCCGATTTTTCCTATACTTCACCACACCACACACACACAAGCATGCACACATACACACACAGAATTTTTCTCTGGTACTAGTACTTCAAAAAATGTACTGCTGTCTATCAGAACTCAATGATACAAAGGCTGTGAAGTCATTTTTTGATAATCTACCCAGCCCTTTCCTTCCCTTGGAGATGAGCCATGCTCTGTGGGTAAGTTCTGCATGAAATACTGACTTGTCAAAAATACATTATATTGAAGAAGAGTGAACACAGTAAAAAAAAAATTAATCCCCAAAATGCTAATAGCAATGCTTCTTCAGAAAACCCTTCCTACTACTGACTCTTGATCTCTCAGTGACATATCTTTATTTATTTCCTAGTTTAACCCTTTGTATTTATGCTACTGTCATGAAAATGGTCCTGATTTTCTTCCTTTGTGTATTTCTCTCACTGTGCTCAATCTTAAGTCATTGTCACACATGGGATTCCTACAACTCCCTCCAAGATTTTTCCTTTTCATTAGTCAGCAGCTAATGGGAAAAAGCCCAGAGATGCCAGGGAATTCAGAACTCCAAGTTACTCCCAGCTGAGGGGTCCACAGGTCCCTATAATGAGGATGGGATGTGATGGTCTTTCTCACAAAATCCTGCAATCTGTCTTTCACAGTGTCGTGAACTTTGCTGCTTGGAAGTTGAAGTGGCAGAGAAGACGAAGCAAAAATCAAGTAAGGTTATTGCTTTGTTATCTATTTACCAGTAGTTGTTGCATGCTTACGTATGAGGAGATGCCCCTTTCATATAATGGGTTAGTGAAATAAACAGTGCTTACAGTGTTCAGTGAAGTCAGTGGCAGGTAAACACATTAGGTTGTTATGGACAATGACATCATCTAGATACATGTTAATGAGGGCTATTAAATGCGCAATAAAGTTGAAATCCCAGTTCTGTATCACAGCAGGAATATTCAGAGTCCCCTTTCTATCAGTGTTTTGCTACTTTAGAGAAGGAACTTTCCCTCACTGTGAAGGGCTCCTTCCAGGGGACTCAGGATATCATGCTGGGCCCCAATGGAGTTGTCAGCCCGTCGTGTCCCATCGAGTTCCACTACATCAAGTACGCAGAGCCAACACTGGATGTCATGCTGCCAAAGAAGAGGCGCTACCACCCTGTATGTTGGAGTGGCCTCGGTGATGGAGGGATTTTCAGTGGCTCTCAAGAAAGTGGGAGGAAGGAGAGGGTAAACCCATTCCTGGTTTTGTCCTAAAACATGTTGTTTTGCCAGTGGTCCTGCAGGTACAGCACAGAGACGGGCTCCCCAGTCGTGATGCTGAACTCGCTGCCCATGGGAAGGAAAACGACCATTGCAGAGGTAAGCATCGCTTCCAGGTGTTGGTAATAAAGGGTCACTCAAACAGAAACAGTTCCTCACACTGTTGTCCCAGATGGCTGCTAAGAGTATCAGAAGTGTTCTGATCTTCGATTAGACTTTGAGAAAACAAGAGTTTTGTTTCTCCAGATGTTTTCTCCACAGAGGCAGGTTGTTGCTGTATCAATCTCCAGTACGTGCCACTAGTAGAGACAGAGACCTACAAAGATGTAAGAAAATATCATACTTCCTTCAGAACATCTCTTCCTGTTTACCCAAAGACTCACTGATTCCCCCTTTGCTTAGGATCCAAACTGAAAGTTGCTTCTGGGGCACAAAAGAGGAAAATATCAACAAACCTGTCCTTAGTCAACCATATATTTAAGAGGACAGTATCTTGAAATAGGCTAAAAATATTAGTCATAGAGTATGTATTTTAAATAATATAATGAGAATATTGATTTAAAAGAACCATTAAGACATCCTCTCAGAACAAAGCACATTTTGTCACTTAATATGAAGATTGAAATAATGATTTTTAAGAGAGGATAAAGTGTGGGCAGAAGCAAATGCAGACTTTGCAGTCTCTTAACTGTGAGGATATGGCCAGGATGTCAAAGCTGTGCTGTGTACTAGAGCATAAAGAATGGAAAACACACAAACAGTGGTAATTTAGAGTGCTGCAGAAAGCTTATGAGTAGTACAGGAAGTGGGAGCTACTGCATGAGTCTCAGAAAGCTCTTATACCAGGATGCTTAATGGTTTCTGCAGCCTGGAAAGATTTAGGATCTGTAGGTAGGGATGTTTCACTAATAAGTAAATGCTTTTGGAAATATATGCCAAGATCTCAAACATTAAAGTTTGTGATTGCCAGACCTTGCTGGGGTATAAATCAAGCTCTGACCTGAAGACAGAAAGAGAAAATATAAAAACTTAAAATTAAAAAACTACACATTCTTGTTTTCCAGGAGAAAAGATTTGACTTGAATGTGACAGCAAAACCTTGGTAAGAAATTTTCTTCTATTCCTTAAGACTTGGTTAATGGATTTTGATATTGTTTTAGCCACGTGGAAATGACACAAGCAAGCATTCTCAGTCTGAAAACTAGAATGTGCTTATAGTAAAACATAAAATACATGCACAATATATAATACATAATTAGCCATAAGAAGATTTGTCTTTAATCAGATGATGAAGCACTGAAATAAACATGTATTTATTTCAGCATTATCCCTTTCCTTCTGACCACAGAATATTTTCTTTGGTCAATGTCAGTCTCTGGAATTCACAAAAAGAACAAAGCTAGCTGGCAACAACAACAAAAAAGAATAGTCAGATGTAAACATTTAATTTAATCAGGGATTAGGAATTATTTTTCGCTTTACTATCAATATTCATCGATGATTAACCTTGTATTCTGTTAAGTCCGCTTATATATTGAGTAGAAACTAAGGTAGACAAGTTAACTTGTGCTTTGACTTCTGTAGATATGTCATTGATACTCATCAGTAAACATGGAGGTACTTCAGGTTATCCATAGCTGTATGGAACACACAGAACTGGGCAAACTGGTATTTTTATGTGTGTGTGTCTGACTAAGAAAGAAAAGGAAAAAAATAATTTTGAATTCAAACTGAATTTTCTGTCATTCATTTCAAAACAGCAAGTGGCACAGTGCTAACAGGAAAATCACTGTTATTCCACAACAGGAAAAACACCTCCTGCTTATTTATTTTACTTTCAGTGATTTTCAGAAGCAGTTTGTTTGGATCTTGATTTACAATAGAAACTGGCTTTTGCAGCTCCGCCTAACTCAATTCCCATCGTGTGTATTCATTTACAAATAAAGTTATAATAATTTGTCTGATTTTATCCAAATCTGGTGGTGGAGAAAGCTCATAATTGCATTTCTTTACTAGTTTCATAGAAATTATGGACCCAGTAGAAGAGAGAGGTTCTGTCTTTGGAAGAAAATGCAAGCCCTGGCATTTGACAATGCCTGGCCAGGTAGCTCTGACCTGACCATGACCATCTCTTGCCTATTGATGTCTTGTAGAAGCAGGGCAGGAAGGGCCAGGAGGGAGATCAGTGGGCAGAAGAGCACAAATGCCCAGGGAAATAAACTACAACTGTGGTTCCTTTAGGAATGACTTAATTTCAAAATAGACACCAGTGAAGTCTTCCTCTGGGAGAGGATGTGCCTTACAATTTTTGAGTCAAGGCTGATGCAGAATAGAACTTCCAGCGTTGACCCCTGGAACAGCCCGTGCAAGAGTAGCCACAGCAGAGCTGCAGGGCTGGAATCCTGCCCAGTGACCCATCTCTGCCCACCCCGAGATCTCTGCAGCAGGCTGGGTTCCCAGACAGCCTCCCCAGCGGTGCTCACCGCTAGAGGGGGATGCCTTCCCACTCCACTTGCTCAAAAGGAGACTTTTCATTCACAGTGAAAATGCCAGTCTTTGAAAATTGAGTGTTATTTTAGATTTCGAATGAGAAAATAACCTGTGAAATAGGAATCGATACTTTCACTCTTGAGCATCTGCATGGATTTTCTAAACTTGTTGTTGTTTTAGTTGTAGAATATTAATTTAATTTTTTTTAATTGTTTCTTCCAAATAGCCATAATTGGGCATAATGCCATTAGTTAACCTTACTAATTGACATAAGTTTCTTACTTTTAAAAACAGTAAAATTATTCTCTCTTGCTCCTGTCATGTTGCATCATCCTGTTTGAAGGGAAGGGTCCTGTAGATTATCTTTGATCAATGCCCTAAGATTATGGTGTGTCAATATTTAATATCTGTGTCTGTTTTTATCTTAGTAATTGCTCATGCCACCAAGACCTGGACATGCGCTTTGGGTTTAACTTGTGTTCTGAAGAGATGGCTTTCCTGGGGAAGAGAAAGAGATACGTAGCAAGTGCTCTCAAAAATGTTTTTCACCTACCACACGATCTGCAGGATCAAGAAGTACGTGTGTGCTGAGGGAAGAGAACTTGAATCTCTAGTGCTTTCTTGTACTCCTGTAAATGAGTGGTCAGCAAAACAGGCCACACGTATCTGTTGTGCAGGTACCAGCTGGTCCATGTGTCTTGAGTACATTTGCTTCTGCTGCCAAGGTTTGTTGTTGAAAACACTAGCTGCAGTCACTATCCCTCAGTACTATCAATTTGGAATTTCTCATAGTTGAGGTGTGTTCATTCCTGCCATGCTGAGTTAATAACTGGCTTGATTCAGAAATACTGGATATATTACACAGCAAAGATTTTTTTTTCCCTTTTTCCAGTTTTACTGCTTTGTGAGAGTTTAGGACTAGCATCTTTGAATGCTTCTTATATCTTCTGTTTCTTGCAGTTTTGAAATTCCTTAAAATAAATATAATTTATTTTAAAATAACTTCAAGATACTGAAGATTAACAGTACTGCTGAGGGTAGCTTAACAACAGTGGCTGTGAATTGAGTGTATTTCTTCATGGGATTGGCATGCAGATTTTCATACAGAAGTAGTCAATCTGTGAAATAAGAAGAGTGGTGGAATGTGAGATGCATAGAAAATACATTGTTGCTTCCACAGAATGTTTTTTCTTGTTCATCTGTGCCTGTATTTGCCCTAGAGATGGGCAAGAATCCCAAGTTTGGGTTAATCTATGAACCAAAGGGAAATAAGTGGCGGTAGCAGTTGTTGCTTGGTTTTGGAGTCTTTCCTTCTGAAAAGGGACCTGGGCTCTGAGATCGGGACCTGGGCTGGCTGTGGTGACCAGCCCCCCTTGCAGTGTGGGTTGCAGTGCTGAATGCTGCCAGTGTGAATGTCCCATCCTCCCTGTGCCCAACAGGTCCCTGTTGTGGCTATCATCACGACAGGCGGAGGGCTGAAGTCAATGACAGGATTGTATGGCAGCCTCATGGGACTCAAGAAGTTAAATCTCCTGGACTGTGTGACATACATCAGCGGGCTGTCCGGCACCACATGGTAAGCCAGCTTGAGCAGGAGGCCTGGCCAGGCCTTTGGAGGGTCACACTGCTGCAGAGGGTAGCTTCTTCGAGGGTCACACTGCTGCAGAGAGTAGCTTCTAAAAGCAGATGAGATCAGGAGCTTTTCTTCAAACATCATATAAACAAGTTTCTCAGTAACAGGCCATTAAAAACTAGCTCAATTTGGTGCACACTTTTTCTATAAGCAGTTCTTTACTGTGCTTGTCAACTCCACATGTGCAGAAGTTAAATTTGCATATGACAATTGCACTCATCAAGATGCTTTCTGGGAAAATAGTTACTGTGGATGTAACTGTGGATGCCCATAGCATCATGCATCTTCCTTTCTCCACTGAATCCCAGCTGTTGTGGTCCCATTAACTTCCAAGACTGGCTCTGATTTCCAGCTGGAAAGAACTGCTGGACAGTGCACACTTACCCCTGCAACCTGCCAGTTTTGTGTTTCTCTGGGCAGTTTATTCCCTGCTCACAGAATCTAAGGCTTGCCTAATGTCTGATTGTTCCATGCAGAGGAGGTTGGTAAAATAGAGGATGATGTTAAAATAAAGCACAGTGATATCATGAGATTAACACTAAGTGAATCAAGCCAAGAGGCAGCTGCTAATATGAATGAGCTTAAGGTTCTGAAAAACAAAGAAAATTTATTATAATTCTTCGTGCTTTACAAATATACCTATGTTCACACATGGCAGTTTTATCCCTTAACCTTCTGCCAGTTCTGCTTAAATAAAAAAATAAAAAAAAGGTCAGGAACATAAAAACCCCACCTCATTCTTCAGGGCCATTTTGAAAAACTGTCATAGAAACTCTGGAGTGTTCATTCTGCTGGATGGAACAGCTGAACCAGAGTATGTGTGAGCAGAAGGGAATCCCTGAATGTAGACTTCTATTCTCAAAGCACATTTCCAGTCTTTTTTTGCTGCTTTTGACTTCTGTATTGTCTTTCTCCAGGACCATGGCCAACTTATACAGAGATGCCTACTGGTCACAGAAGGACCTGGACTCACATATTGGTGAAGCCCAAAAACAAGCAACAAAATGCAAGATGGGCTGTTTCTCCATGGATCGCATGAAGTACTACAACAAGCAGCTTTGCCAGAGGAAAGAAGAGGGATACAGGACATCATTTATAGATCTTTGGGGTCTCATGATTGAGTACTTACTAAATGATGGGGTATGATGTATATTCCATTTCTTAAAGAACTGTGTGTTTTTCCCTTTGTGGATGGAGAGGAAACTAGTCCATCATTTCAGAGAATGTGCCTCAAAGCAGAGGGGAATTCTCTGTGTTAACAAAATAGCAGATTTTTAAAACTCCTTTAATAGTTTGCTTAGAAATAAATGCATCTTATATGCTAATAAATTCAGTTGTGGATGCAGCCATTTCAACTCTGGCTGGTATTTAAGTGGAAGTGAAGGCAATCTTGGGAAGTGAATCTGAGATGCAAATTACTCATGCAAAAAGAGTTCAAAATGCAAAGAAGAGTAATCTCAACAATGTGAAAACTATCTCAAGCAATCCTGAAACAGCTAGAATGCTCAGTGAGTTGCATCCACTGGCAGGAAACTTGGTATGCAAATACAGTGGAGGCAAGTACATATTTTGCTTTTCCTCAGAAGCAATGCTCACATGGTTTAAGTGATACTTATTTTTTATAAGTAATTTCAAATTTGCTTTTCTGTTACTTGAAGGGGTTTCTACCCCTACAGTAAAGCAGTCCACTTCCTTTTCTCCCCAAGGGGATCACAATTACAGGATGTGTGCTTCGGCACTTGGAAAGTGGGAAAGGATGAGTGGTTGAGGACTGAGCAGAAGTGTCCTCCAATGGGGGCAGAAATCCTACAGTTGTTCAACCATTTATTTGGGTTTATTTTTATGTAAGTACATATATAGCATTATGTATATGTAAACAGAACATAAATGCATAGAGAGGAATACTAGGTATTAAACAAAAGTGTGAGCTAAATAGATGCCTCTCTTTTAATCTCAGCTAGATGTGGTGCCCCTTGCAATTTAATCAAGCATTTCCCCGTTTGAGCAGTGCTGACTATTTCTATGTAGCCATTAACCTCTCCTGAACCTTTCAGAGCAAGCTACTCTTAAATTTTCCAGTAGTTCATGAGATTTCATGTTTTTTATAAACCTCTTCAATGAGAATATGCTTTTTCAGAAAACAAGCCGGGTGGGGTGCAATAATTTGCTGCCAAATTTCAGTCCCTTTGCGAGGGTAGACTGCGATAGCTGTTGTGTGGTAGAAAAGGAAGTTAAGTATCAACAGGCTCAAGGGCTTCCTTCAGATTCAGAAGAGCAAGGATGGCTCACTACACTCCTCAGGCTAAGGAGCAGCCCACCCCTCCTTCTACTTGTCAGGACAATACTTCCTGGGACTTTATAGAGGTGTACAGAAATAGTTGTCTCCCTCCTTATCTTTCTGTGAAACCGTGCACAAAGCCAGGCTGGAGCCTGGGAGCCTGCTCAGGGATGGTTGGTGGGGGTACCTGCCGTGCTCTGCATGGTGGAGCAGCCAGGGTGCATCCTGCGTGCTGGGGTGGAGCTTCCCAGCTCCTCCTGCACCGGGGCCAGTGTTCATTTCCATCTCCTCTCACGTCACACTTTTTCTTCATAACCAGAAAGACCCCCACAAGCTTTCAGAGCAGCAAGAAGCACTGTGTGATGGCCAGAACCCACTGCCCATCTACGTGTCAGTCTGCGTCCGGGACAGTTACAGCACCAATGATTTCAAAGGTAAGGATGTTGTTTCAGATCCCCTGAGGCTAAAATTGGCAGCTAAATTCCCGTCATCACTCTTCTCTTCGTGGTAGCACTTGGAGAAAACAATCTTGATGTGTTAGTTGCTTTTTGGAGAAATAACCATCACCTCCATGCCTTACAATTTGAATACAAGGGTTTTGGGGAGCAGCATTTCACTGTCTAGGCATACACGGTAGAAATTCTGTCAGAAAGACTGTTTTGAGAAATAGTGGAATTATTCTATAATTCAATTGATAATTGAATTATAATAATTATATTATCAATAATTCAGTATCAAATAATTCAATATAATAATTCAAATATCAATAATTCAATAATTGCTTTTTCTCAATGGCTGTTATTGTTTCAATATGAAGAATGACCATGTAGTTATGGTAGAGTTTGGGAAGGCTCCTGACTGAATCTGTTGCTTTTCTCATTGTTTTGTTTGTTTGTGTTTCTTTCCTATGGAGGATCAGGAGGAGAAGGGGAAGAGAAAAATTCAGATCAAACTTTTTTTACTGTTGAGGCAAGAAAATGAACCATTCCTGAATGAAAATGAAATTATGGTCCATGACATTTCTGTCCCAGTTTTCATTCATGCTGGGGTTATATCAGACAACTGCACTTCACTTGGAGAAGACATCCAAGAAAGTCAAGAACTAGTTCTCTGTCTATTAGTATCACACACAGAGAGTATAACAGAGAGTATAATTGGTCTCTTACAGAAAAAATAATTTCTGAAGAGCTGAGTACCCATCTTTGTACATAAACAATTATTTAAGGAAGATAAATTAACTGTACTGGTGAAGCACTGTCACCTGGACGTGGCGTATGGAAGGGCACAGCAAAACTGCATACATGCTGGAAAACCCTGGATGGGGTGTGGACAGGGTGTGCAAGGCCTGGAGCCTTGCCATGCCCCCAGTGTGACCATGACCAGCACAACTGCTCCTGCCCCCTCATCCACCACCATGCCCGAGCTCAGACGCCTCCCTGGAGATGCGCGTTTAAGAGTGAGGCTTTGCAAAGGCAGCATATTAAACATAACTGAGACCAATGTATGCCCCAGCTTCCCCTCTTCTCACACCTGTCTGGGAGCCCTCTAAGTGTCCCGTTGTGGCTGTATTGCAGAGTGGGTGGAGTTCACTCCCTACGAAGTGGGACTGCTGAAGTACGGCGTGTTTGTTCGCACGGAGCATTTCGGAAGCGAGTTCTTCATGGGCCGCTTGTTAAAAAAGCTCCCTGAATCCCGCATCTGCTACCTTCAAGGTGATGTATAGCGTTGTCCTGACACAGAGGCACTTGAAGGGGTGAAATGCTGTTAACCAGTGGGTAAATAGTTCTGTCCTAACATACTGAACACTGCCTGCTGGGAAATGGGAGTGGTAGTTTATCCAAAAGAATACAGTAAAACAACCCGCATATTTTTCCAGTTTCTTGGCACTGTCTTGGTAGATGAATTGTCTGTGTCTTAGAGATAGAATAGATGAAGATCCTTAATTCTTTCATAGTAAGTAATAGCTCCCACTTCTTTGGTTATTATGGCTTCTCTCTGAATGCACTCCAACCTAAGTCCAATTGTATTAGTCAGATTTAAATTTACAATGACTGGTGATATGGTGGCACTCTGTTTTGTCAACAAAGCCACCGATGCCCCTGTGGCGAGGCAGAGAGGGGTAATCCTGGATGGAGAAAAGAGTGCACAGTGGAGCTGGAGCACACTGCATGTGTGAGCCTTTACAAGCTGTGGTGTGAGATCTCATCTTACAAACATCTGACAAGCCACTTCATCCCCTTGTGGAACAATTCAGGGTGTCAGAAAGAGTTACTGATCAGAGTAAGTGCAGAAAAAGACAAGCTGGAGAAAGGAAGATGAGGATGGAAATGATGTGTTTGTAGTCTATGTGTTATCTGGATTTTTTGTTTTGCCTCTTAAGCGTGTCTTTTTTTCTCCTTTACTTGCCTCAGATTCTTTGCTCTCTTTACCATGTGGCAGAGCCGTGTAGTGGGTTAGGCACAAAACTGATGGTAGCATGACTTGAATCAGTGACAAAGAAAGTTAAGAGAATTTTAACAGCATGGAATTTTAGAAATATCTCTGTTAGTCCCATTCAAAAATTGAGCCAGGAGGTCAAAATAGAAGTAGAGGACATTTTCTTGTTAAAATGTGTCCTTGTGTTCACTAATTCCTTTTACAGGTATGTGGAGCAGTATATTTTCTGTGAACCTTTTACAAATATGGGGACTGTCCCATAGTTCAGAGGACTTCTGGAAGAGATGGACACAAGACAGAATAGATGAAGTTGGTGAGAAATTATTATGCCTTTAATTTATGGTCATTTATTTTCCTGTGTGTCTTTTGTCATCATCTTGTCAACTTTGCTGAAGCTGGCATCATAGGATCTTACTAAGAGATAGTGACTTCTCCTCACACTGCAGAGAGTAATAGGAAGAGGGAAATCAGGGAAAAGCTGCTGTAATTACAGATGTACTAAAGTGCTACTGGTTCCCTTAGAGGAAGTTTTAGAGGGGTCAGACATTTCCCAGGAAGTGTTTTGGCGTTACAGTTCTCACTTAGCCATACCAAGAACCAACAGCAGAGAATATGGTACTTTTTAGTGCCTACTCGGAGAATAAACCTTGATATCAACTAGTTAATCAATGTTTCCTTGGTTTTTATTTTACTACTCAGTACAGTAATTACTGCATTGGATTCACACTGGCACAAAGATAAATGAGGCCCAGAGGGTATGTTCTGAAGCAATACAGAAACCATGATTTTATTGCTAAATCGCTTGATAGGATAGTAACTATAATTACAGACATCCTGAAAAATACAGAAATACAATGTGCAATCACAGAAACCACCAGGTCTCTCCTGCTGCACCGTCAGCCTCTTGGGCTGGCAAAGCAGATTGTCATTTCTAGAAACCTCACCTTGCGCCACATTTCTGCTTTTCACCCATGTGCCATCTACCCACCCCCTAAACTACCCATAGTTTCTGAATATGAATGTATGCCCCAGGTTTTCCCGGGGTGCTCTCACTCTGCTGATTAAGCATGTGCTCACGTAGCCATGAGTGATCATTGGGTAGCAGCAATCACTGTTGCAATAGACCCCGTGGTTGCTGGTGTTGCCCATCTGACTGAGCAGTAGCTTATTCATCAGCCCCATTTTCTCCATGCTTGTATCTGTTCCGTGTTATCTTCCGGTGAGGATATTTAACTTCTGACAGAACATTTTCTGAATTGCCTAATTTCCTTAAGGTGTCCTTTTTCCAAGACTAAAGATTGCTTCTGATGGCCTGTCTTCAGGCCAAAGCTTAAGACCATCAGCAGAGCTTTGTCCAGCAGCCATTCCTATCCCTCAGAAGAGTTTGTGTGCATTTAGTGAATCATCCCAGAAGAGCCCCTGGGAGCTCCTTTGCAGCAGGGCAGCCAGGAAGGAGCACAAGTTAACAAGCAGTTCACCAGTTTTTCTCCCCTCCTCTAGATGAGGACCCGGTGTTGCCCACAAGACCCCACGAGCTGAGGACTCGCATGTACACCCCCCCTGGCGCCCTGTCCAGCGCCCTTCGGGGGGCACTGACCGACCGCTTCTCCGTTGCCCAGCACCACAATTTCCTGAAGGGCTACCAGCTGCACAACAGCTACATGGAGAACGAGCACTTCTGTCGGTGGAAAGGTAACCGATATTTAGCTGGCATCATTTTCGGGGAGTTTTTGGGTGGGGAATTCAGGAAAAAGGCGTGTCAGTCTTGGCAGAGGATAAAAATCCTCCCAAGAGGCACTAAAACTTCAGTGTTGCCAGGTATTGAAGAATTAATATTTATATTAGTTTTGTTCAGCTGAGACCTCTGCAGTCCAGACTGAGAGGGTAGACTTGAAGCTGACTGATCCAAATTTAAAGTGACAGCGAGCAGAAAACATGGGGGAAAGCTTGATTTGGCAAGATTATACCTCTAACTTCAGATGCAGCTGAAATATCCAAGAAAATATCACCTATAAGAGAAAGCTGGAAAGGAATGGGGCTTTCTAGTCTGAAGAAGAGGGGACTGAGGGGGAAGGATAAGTCCAAATGTATACAGGATCGAAAATATTTTGTTCTCCAAATCAATGACAGATAGAAGATGAAACAATAACCAAAATGAAGCAAGTCAGATGTAGGTTAATTATTAGACGTAGCTTACTGGCACTAATAGGTGTGATATGTTAATGCAATGTATTGCCTGGAAACACAGCACAGATTTTTCAGAACAGGAAATTAGGTGTTTTGCAGTCCTTTTCATGCCTGTTTGATGGTCTAGTGGTGGGGCAATTAAATTAAACCAGGCCTCTGGGATGATCAGTTCCGTCTTACACTTCTTTTTCCAGTCAAAATACCTGCAGATATATTCTTATTCAAGAAATATTTTTCTTTTAGACACTGTGTTAGACTCACGTCCCAACCAGCTGATGCAAAATCCCGATCAGCTGGGCATGATAGATGCTGGATTTTTCATCAATACCAGCAGTGCACCACTTTTAAGGCCACAGAGGGAAGTGGATGTCATCATCTATCTAAGTTATACTACTGGATCACATACATCGGTGAGGATGGTCTTGTTACCATGTGTTGTATCTTCTTTTACATGTAAATGCCCAGCCTGTAGCATCCAGAACTGCTGTTTGTATCAGCTGTTCGGTTTATAACATCTGCATTGCCCTATATTTTTCACTGTAGTGATTAATACTTTTCCTATTTCTTCCTGCCATTCCTGGACTCTTTCTTACTCATTTATGAACATGTTGAATTATTCAAGGGGGTGTCAGCATGGTCTTTTCCAGAATGATGGGAAGAGCCTCTTCTGCATTATGCTGAATCAAGCAGGCTTCCAGACAGTGCATAGGAATATTCATAAAGATGAGGAAGTGATTTCTTCTGACTTAAGTTAGAACATAAAAAGGCTTAAGTGGATATCAGCAGCAGGTAATTTCTGGGCTGACAAATAAGATGCTACAAGTAAAATTCAGTGATGAGCATCTTCCTATAGAAAACCCATTTCATGGAGATAAAGTTCATTAGCTGTCTATAAGAGCAGGCAGAAAAGAAGTTTGGATCTTTTTGTGTCAGAAACTGAGGCTAGTTGAAAATTCACTGTTAAGCACTTTGGCCTTCCTAAGTAGAATTACATTCTGAGAATGAGAACAGCTGTGCTGCTACTAATGAGCACAGCTACTAATAAGCATCTGTTGGATGAGACAGATGTAATTAAGTTTTATTTCAGCCTCATTCATTGTCTAGATAAAACTTAAAAAAAAATAAGGCTGCTGCAATTTTAAGTAGTAGAAACTTTTTTCTGTTTGATAGTGTTCACTATTAGATGGTGCAGCGTAAATAATGCCGTGCATATTAGGACATGATGTTTTATTAAACATTTCAGGAAAAAGATATAGCATAGCCTAATGTTTCAGATTTTTTTCAGTAAAATATTAATCTCAGTTAACACTGTGCCATAATGACTGCACAAGCAGAGATACAACTGTACATTGAAACTTAACTTTCTTATCTCCTGGCTTCCAAGCACATGAGATACCTTAAACATTTTCCTGCTGTGCTTTCCTTCTCTAGTTAATTCTATACAATGTGTTAACACAGGCTCTTTCATTTGCTAAAACTAAGGCTTGTTTCAATTTTTTTTTTTAAACAGTGTCCTGGGTGAACTCTTTAATTCTGAAATTGTGTTTACAGCTTGTGACTAGCAATGTGGTTACTATGTGTGGTAATTGTATATAGAGTAACCCTTGATAAGAAGCAACTCACCCTATGGATCTGAGCTACTAAACCTTAATAGTAGATGACAATTTGGGGCCTTTAGACAATGAAGTTGATTACCAGTGCTGACCATTTTTGTGATCCTCCAGTCTCTAGATAAGGCGTGTAAATACTACTCAGAGCAGAAAATCCCATTCCCAACAATTTCTTTGACTGACGAAGATAAGAAAAATCTGAAGGAGTGCTACGTCTTCCAAGATTCAGATTTGCCAGGATGTCCAATTGTGATTTTTCTTCCCCTTGTGAATGATACCTTCCAAGAGTACAAAGCACCTGGTAAGTTAGAAGTAGTGGCAAAGCATTGAACAAAAGGCACCACTGATTTTGTGACTCAGGGACTTCTTCTTTGCTGCTGGCTGTCTTTGCTCTCTGGGTTCATGGGGGAGCACTCTAGCTAATTAAACTTGTTTTCCCCATTCCTACCAAAGCTATTATGTTCACTCATGTCTTCATTGTGTCTCTAAGAGAACCAACACAACCTGTGTCTTCTGGATGGTGTGTACCTTCACCTCTCTTCCATTTGTTACTTGAAGTGTTCCTACCTAATTGCAAAAGCTTTTTTCCTTGAAAGGTATAGCTCTCTCAGATTATTTCCTGCTGCATATATTGTCTATTGTTCGGGTATTGCACTCTACCCTTGAGGAACCATAGTGTCGTGTATGAGTCGTGGGGGAGAAAGAACCTGGCTTTCAGGCTGAACTCCAGCAATGTTAAGATCACTGTGTCTCATTTTGGTTCAGCACGAGCCCAGGGATCATTTTACTGACTGTGATGTGTGTCACTCCTTTTCTGCCAGGCCATCTGCTTTGTACTCCTTTACTGCAAGTTACTAGGATGCATTTTCTCTGATCCTTGGTAGCAGGGAGGTTAAGCCCAAAATACTGCTGTTGTGGAATTTGTGTGCCACAAAAATCAGAAAGGGAGAGATGGATCAGGCATATGCACTGAACCTTATACAGCATTGCAGGAACTCTCCATTTCCACATGTTTTGATTGCTCCTTTCTCACTTAAATTCTGTTCTCTTACTAGCAATTAATCTTCCTCATCTGAGGTTCATGGAAATCCCAGCTGCCCAGGCTAAGACCTGCAGTGCATGGACATTGGCTTTTGGAGTGCCCTTTCAGGCTGACATCCTTGCCTGATAATGACTTTAATAACTTTAATAAATGGCTTTAATGAGACAGATGTTTCTGAGTAAGCTGTAGATGAACATTGTGATACCATCCCTCTCTTATCTCTTGTGCCCTCCTTACTTCAGACTCACAATGTTCTCTTGACTAAGGTGGTGATATATGAGTTGCGCTGTTTGCATTTAAACCCTATGAGCTTTCATCAGGAGAAAAGTCCTGCTCCTCATGGACAGTTTGACACTGATTAAGGTAAGCATCATGTCACAGCAACAACAACTCTTTCTCTCCAGGTGTCAAGCGCTGTTGCTCAGAGATGGATGAAGGCCAGCTTGATTTGACCAGCTGCTGTTCCCCCTACTGCATGTTCTCTGTCAGATACACCGATGAGAATTACCGCAAGCTGCTGAATCTCAGCGAGTACAACATCCTCAACAACTCTCAGATGATTATGCAGGCCTTGCAGACAGCGATGCAAAGGAGAAGGCAGAAAATGTGCTGATTGCTCTTATCTTCTCTGAGGAGTTTTTCATGCTCTAGGACCCAGAAGGGACATACCTTTTTCAAACACTGGTCATTCTGCACTACAGAAACTATCCCAGCTGGTGCAGTGGTTTGCTGGGGTTTTTCTATCCCCAAGAAGTGGTCTCTATAAGCAAAGACATTGTGTGGGAAATTTTTACTTACGTTTTGTTTCATCAATTAAGGTTGTCTGTAGAGCACTCTTTGCCTAAAATACTTGTTAGATTTTTAAATAGTGTGATTTTAAGCATAACTTATTATAATATATAGGAAAATGATTTAATAATTATAAAGGAAAAGATTTTTTTACCGCCATAGCACTACAGTTATACAACACAGCCAACACACCTACAGGCCATAAGAAGGGAGTATAAACTTCTGCTCCCACAATTCTGCTTTGTGGAACATGAGATATGACCTGTCCTGGAAAACAAAGAGAACCTGAGACACAACTGGAAGCTGGTAATGGATCCCTTGGTCAACTCTGTTTTGCAAGTGTCCCAAAGAGCAGCCAGGGAGGCTGGAAAAGTGAAGAGGGACAAGTGTGTGCACACAACCAGCCCTATGATCTCATCCACATCCTGGGCTCTCTTGGGCTGTGAATGAATCATATGTGATGGGAAGGAGCAACTTAGGAGGAAGTGGCATAAGACTTTTCACATAAAATGTTTTTTTTAAAGAAAAGGGTGTAATTTGGGCAAATCAAAATTTCCTGTTAATTTATGTCAGTTTTAATTGGTTTGTACTGAGAGAGTATATAAAACCTCAACACTTTCATTTGAAGCTTTCAAAATAAAACACCCTGGATCTTGTTTTCCCTGTTGGGTTACTTCTCATAATAAAATACCATTCTTAAATTAAAAAAAAAAAAAAAAAAAAAAAAAGTACTTGAAAGTATTTTACTTTCAGTAGACAATAAAAACTTTGCTGTGTTGCTTGGTACAACAGTTTAGGTCATATGCCTGTCAAAAAAAATTTCTTATTTGTTTACTTCTTCCTGTACAAGCTGAGTAGAAGTAAGTCAGTAGCCTAAACATCTTAAAACAATCTGAAGACCATGTGTGGGATCTAGCACAAAAACACCAATTAAATTTGTTGTGGTATGCAAAATACATTTGCTTTTTTAAACTTACTTCCTTTCCCTCTTTATTGAAAGTGCCTTTTTTTTAAACTGTTCTGAACTGTGCTGAGGGTGAGCTGTAAAAATTATAAATCCATAACAACTTTTGCATTCCAGGAGCAAGTCAAATTGAAAACACACTTTATTTATAAGTTTTATGTCCTAAAGACAGCTGGGAATATTTTGAACAAAGAATCTATTCAGGCAGAAAAGAATCTATCAACTACATATTATAATATGGGACTAAAATAAATCAGGGAAAATACTTGGGTAAGTTGAAACATTTCATGTTAATATTTTACAAATTTGTTTTGAAACATAACTTCTTTTTAATAGACTGCCTACCTTGTCAGCCCAGGGAACCCAACGTGAAAATAACAGGGTTCATTCACAGCCAAATAATGTTTGGCTTGTTACAAAATGACACTTCGAGGATTTCATTTTAGCAAGGAGCGATGACAAATCATCTTTACAAATTGGTTCAGGATAACTTTTCCAACACATTGGTCATTTATTACATCAAAACAAAACTTACATTTTTGTGCAACTGTAGCCTAATGTTGCCAGCCTAAAGATCACAGCATAAATACTAATGTTTGAAACATACGGTTTTGAACAACTATGCACTTCTGATTTTTTTTTTTCTCCTGTGGTAGTTTCACTAGTCATAGTCAGAATTATGATGCTATGTGCTCTGCATATAATCCTGGGAATTACCTCCATTTTTACCTGAAAACCCTGTTGTGAAAAAGTAAACACAGGTTTTAGCCATAAACTCTTGCCGCCTCCAGTTCTGAAGAAATGTTATTTACATGCAAAAATTTTGTGTGTACACTACAAGACAATAAAGGCTTGTTTGCAAAATGAAAATTCTGCCTTGCTGCACATATTCAGGCATTTCAGTAATATGCTTCAGGTTCACAGTGTGAACATTCCTTGTTCCTGGAAAACAAAACTCTTTTTATCTCTGCAAAGAACATACCAAATACTTGCTGTGAGCATCGTGGATAAAGGAATGTCTCAGAGACAGATTGCAGGAGTGCAGAGCGAGCCATGGTCCCTCCCCCATGGAAGGGATGTCTCTGATGTGAATTGCAAATGCTGTCCATGAAAATGAGAGTTTTTTTGGCCACTGGCACTGTGGGAGTGAAAGTCTCAGAGGCCCAGTCCTGGTGGACAGTCTGGTTAATATTTTTGCCCTCCAAGGAGATGTCATAGTAAAGCATTGTCTTTAAACATGACTGACAGATGCCAATGCTGCCATTTTTCTGTGACCTAATGAAAAATGCATTTCATCGTTGAGCTGGCACACAGAGGAAACATGCCAAGTGTGTAGACACATCCTTTCATGGCGTCACAAAATACTGTCCCCTATGGCAAAAAATTTATTCTACCAAGTTGGCTGTGATGACTGATGATATTATTTTGCATGGCAATGTGCAAAGGGGACCTGCGCTGGCTGGTGGCAATGTTTGACCAGTAAGCTCAAGAATGCTCAGAGAATGAGCATTTTTTTGCTCAGAGATGATGTGCTGGGGAAGTGGGGAAGCCAAAAGAATCCCTTCCCCCAGAAAGTTTGATCTGTTATGATCTGTTGATGATGCAACAGTCTTTGCCTTTTCTAATGCTCTCCCAGTGAGCTGTGAGCCATGCCAGTTTCAATGGCACAGGGGTCAGCTGTGTGTGGACAGGGGCAGGTGTCCTGCCCCAGCAGTGGTGTCACAGTTGTACCAAGGGCTTTGGGGAGGGCAGCTTGAGGTCAGGGCTGAGTTTTTTATCTGGCAGGCAGGTTTCATTGGGTCAGACACGGACACTTAAATGCAGCTAGTTTGCAGCCAGAGTCAGTGTGAGCTGGAAAATGGTGTAGAAGTATTCATGGGTGTGGAGCTAAGTTAAGGAAAGTCATTGCTTCAGGACTCTACATCTATACACAAAAATAATAATAACAAGCCATAGTAAAGGAGAGGGAAGGAATACAATGGCTTGAGGAGAGAGCCAGCCCTGCTGGACCTTGGCTGAGTAGATATAAACCACCATGTGATCATGTTGCTTTGCATGCCTAGACCTGGGACTATAGGGACATGTGGTTCAGAATACCTTAAACTAGTTTTTGCAATAAGCAGGTTAGTCTGAGAACAAAAGCATTCTCACTTTTTTTTCTTCTCTCATTAGCTGTTTTATTGTGTCTGCTCACTGTCACAGATAACCTAAATTCAATTTATGTACTGTTGCTGTATCTTATTGCAGGGTTTGTACGTCTGTGGGCTTTGAGGTCTTGCTAAATTGAAAGTTCAGAGCTCAGGTAAAAGTTCAGAGCATCCTTCTCTTAGGTTTAATTTTAAAGCTGCCATTGGCCAGTACAGAGCAAAGTGACTCAAACACAATACTTCCACCTGCTATATAGGCAAAGGTATTTTTTCCTACTTACTTGACCACAGGATGCAGCTTCCTACCATAAGAAAATGGGAGGGGAGTAACTGGTTTTAAGAAACCAGTCAGAGGTGGGGCTCTGAGTCAGTTTATAAAAGAGTTGCTCACCTGCATCTGGGACATTTGAACTACTGGTGTCTGTGGAAGCTGGCAGATGAGATTGCATTGCCACAACTAACACTGGATGTGTGTGTAAACGCGACCACAATGGACCAGGATGGCATTTTGTCTAAGGTAAGAAGGGTGCAGAACAAAGCAAGACATCTGGGATCTCAAAAGCTTGTGCTGCATGTAGTGCAAAGATGATACTACTTTCTTGACCTTCCATTGACTATAATAACTCTATGCAGGATGAGGAAAGTAAAGGCTTCAAGACCTCAATATTAAAACTTTGAAAGTTACAGTAAACCACAGGAAGAAAATTAAAACTACTTGGGGAGTAAGAGCTTATTTACAAGGGGAGCATTTTGAATATTTAGGGATTTTATTAATTCTAGAGACACCATATCTGCAACTTTAGAATAAGTATTAAATAACACCAAGGTGTACTTCAAGGTGAAAGATTAATGACAGGGTGTGTTTATGGGAGACAGGTTTGCTGTTCCTTTAACAGCCAGGGCCAGGAGCTGATTCCCCTCCCCATGTGTCATGAAGGGTGGACCATACCTGGTTGCTACGCCTCCTCTCAGGTTTAGTGGGGCAAGCACAGCCCAAGCAGTGGCACCGGGCACCGCAGGAAACCTCGGTTCCTGCCAAGGCTCTGCAGCCAGCACTGACCATGGGCTCCCTGTCCCTGTGGCTCTAAAGTTCTCAATTCCCAAAGAGGGTTGCCTTTAAGAGAAATGATGGTTTTTCTAGGGGTAACGTTGGCCCTTCTTGTTCCAGGAGCTGATCACTCAAACCTCTCAACAAGGAGACGGAACTATGCAGCTGAATCCTGATGGGAAACAGCGGACTTCTCTTACAAAGGTACCACAAAGGAGAATTTCGAAAGGAAACTGTAAAGGGGACTTTCCTGATGGGTGGAGGCTGGGTGAAAACAGATAGGGTTCAGCATCTGCCAAACAATTTAATTAGCTACTGTAACCCATTCAGTTCCCTCTGTGAGGCACTGTCCTGCTTATCGCTTTGATCATTCCACTTAGGTAGTCTTGCTTCATGTTAAATTCCTAGTGTGGCTTCCTGTCCTTGGCACATGGGGAACAATCTCTCTTTAAACAAGACTAGTATCTTTAAAAGGATGGGTTTCAATAGGCTTTTTCTACATGTCTTGCTACAGCACAAGGGCAAGTTTCCTGCCAGTGTGGATAGCAAGAGAAGGGAAATTATGCCATTTACTCTCACAATAGTATGGCAGAATCTTAAAGTGGATTTTCAGCACCTGATTTCCTGAATTAACCCCTCTTCTGGCCTCTAGTAAAAATGAATAGATTTTCAGGACCCTTCAGACATGAAATTTCTCCTCTAGGAAATGAGAGGATTAGATGTGCTAGAAAAGATTTTTACCTTTCCTCTCTCTAGTTTGAAGCCGTTTAGTAATAATTAGGAGCTTTCCCTTGTTCTGTTTTGTGATGAGCACAGTTGCTGAGCAGGTGCTGAGTTCTCAGTTTAAGGAACAGCCAACCTTTTCTTGGTTAGCTGAATGGGAAACCCAAAGAAGAAATACAAAAGAGAAAATACACCCTGCAATACAACTCTCTATGCTTCAGGGCTCGCAGCAGTCTCAGAACACACCAAACATCTCAAATTTTTTAGGCAAAACTCACAAAGCTGGATTTTGGTAATTTGTTATTTATAGCTCTGTGATGTCTAAGCCAAGGCTCCTTGGTCATGACAGGGCACATCCACATGCCTGAGTATTTGGTTCAATCTGCACTGCCTTTTTTGGCACATTTGGATCGCCACAAAGGTGGCTCCAGGGCATCTGATCCATGAAACTGTGTTGAGCCCTTCCAAGAATTGCATTCTCCAAAGCCAGCCACTGGCAGCATGTTATCGGTTCTGTAATTACTGAGCACATTCTGTACCTGCCTCGTTTCTGTGCCTTTAGGAGTTAGGTTTTAGACATCAATTCAAGTGTCCTTGGTAGTCTGATCCAAAGTTACTCTTGGGGCCCTTAGCAGTGGTTTGACACCCTTGATCTGCACACCCAGTGACCTGCTTGTCATATTCTTGTTACCTTTTCCTAGAGCGGGATGCTTTGGTTAATTGGAGGCTGATTTTACCTGTTTCTTTGTTAGCCTACTTGCACATTGCCCCCAGTCTCAACAGCATGGATTCATTAGCCCTGGCTGTCTGCAATGATATGCTCAGGTTAAACATTCGGAAAGACTTCACATGGACATATATTCCATTAAGCCTGATGCACTTCACTTTTTATGAATGGACATTATTAACACAGTACATACCAAATTCTTCTGCTCAGACAGTCCAAGCAAAAGTCTTGCTCTCCTTTCCTGCAGTACCTGTGTCACACTTGTTTCTCAGTGGGTCTAATGAGGTCAGTGTCATGTTATTCCGCTTCAGGGCTGGCAGTGGTCTTGTATAATCATTTTGCAATATAGGTGAAGTCTTTACCTGTCCATGGCCCTGTAGTTGTACTAAGTGCCTTTTAGGCCTTTTGGAGCAAAAATTTCCTGTGGATTTATATTCCAGCATGTTGTGTCTTTCCCCCATCTCCATGGCAGTAGAAATAATAAGTTATGTGGAGGTTATTTATTTGTTTATTTTATGGTAAAGGGAGAGGGGATATGAACTCATATCTCCAATATGAATACAACAATATGACAGGCTAGGAAGTCATGCATGAGGTCAGAAACATGGGCTAATATGAAAGAGGGAAGCCTCAAGAAAAAAATAAAGAGTTTCTTATCAGGTGTAAAACACTGCTTACACTTCTTAGGCAAAACAAAAGAAACTCAAGATGTGAAGAGTTTATATACTTCAAAACTAGAAAGAAATTTCTCACAAGAAAAAATCAGAGGTGATTTTAGCTCAAGAGGGCAGCTATATATGAAAAGCTCATACATAGTAAGTAGCATGGTGGAAGTGCAAAGCAGCAATCTCTTTCTCAGATCTTAAAATCAGTTTGGGGATTGGAGTTCAGCATTTAACTCTGCAGAGTACTGTACATTTAAAATAGCAGGAATATGAGAAAATAATTTCATTGCCCAGGAGACTGAATATATGTAATAACTGGATAGAAGGCAATCACCACAATAATAATTTTATCACTTGAAAAAGGTCTAAAGCATGTCTTCATTTTCTACCTTGGAAATTTAAAAAATATATCTTCTCCCAAGCTGGGACTGAATCTTAGGACTTTGTGCAGCCATATTTTAGATAAGAAACAAGTAAATAATATCATAAAGCCTCTTATCATGCTACAGAAGAAAGGAAGCATTTCAGTCTAGTACTTGATTTAGATGTTAGCAGGAAAATAAATGTATTGGCCACTCCATAATCAAACAGAAAATTCAACTGAACTGTTCCTGAGTTGGGTGTTTATCTCTCTTGATCACTTCTGTCTTCTACATATGCTATCTAAATTTGGCATTCATTCCTCTCTTTTGTATATTTGTTTTTTTCCCTGCAGGTAGAGTCTTCTCCGTGTTACTTACTGACTGTAAGAGTCATAAGAGCAAGAAATATCCACCAGGCAGATGTCTGTAAGTATCTGCAGTGCTCTATAGAGGAGCTCATGGCCTCTTACCTCCATGGGCTAATAGCTAGTCCTGCTCCAAGTAAAGGTGCTTTCTAGATTTCTTCCATGAATTGGGAAAGTTCTGTTGTTGGTGCACATTTCTCTGTGTCCCCAAAGGGAGCAGTAAAAGCTCTGCAATCTGTTGAAAGCAAAAGATGTGGAAAGATCTCCCATGTTTTCCTCTGGTGTATATTTATGTAACAAGGAACACAAAATGGTGACACTAATTGAGTAAATACTAAAAGATCAGAAGCTTTGTCTCAAATTTAGTTTTATTCAAAGTTTTCTCAAAGCCAAATAATTAAAACTGCCATACCCTAATTCTCTATGTGCCAGCATTCCCAGCTAAAAGCCCATCAGGTATAGTTACATTTTGTAGCTCCTTTGTTTTCTGCTGGCCTGGAACTGAAATATAATAGAAGATTGTATCTTTACTTATGCAGAAATCAGAAAGCTTTTTCTTAATGTTCTGTTTGGCTAAATGAGAAGATATCATGTCGTTTCCTTAATGCTTGCTGCATTTGTCCTGGATTTCTTTTATTCTTGGCTAAACAGATTGTTTGATGACATAGAAGGAGAAAACCCTTCAATGTATTTATTATATTTCTAATCACATTTACTTAGAGAAGAGTCATGCCACCCTTCCTTTGTCTCCATTCCTACTACTTAAATTGTATTGTTTATGTTGAACAAATATGCCATGACACTTTGCATCAGTGTCTCTTTTTGAGAATTAAATTTCATATTGTTCAGTTAATTCCTTCTTCTAGACCAAATGCTCATTTTAGATGTGTTTGTGTTTTTAATACAGTGAGCCATACTGATTGCTACGTGAGCCTGTGGCTGCCGACTGCTTCAAACGACAAATTTCAGACTAAAGCCATCAGGAATTGCAAAGATCCAGTCTGGAATGAAACTTTCTACTTCAGGATCCAGAGTCAGGTCAAGGTACTGAACTGGGATTTTTCTGGTAGCTGACCCAGGGAGCTACTGAGAGGTTTTATCCTTTTGCAAAGGGACATAAGCAATTTTCTCAACAGGCAAGGAAAGATACAGAAAGATAAGAGAATCATGATGGTTTTCCATGTCATGCAAGATGATTGTCTCTCTCAGCCATAGGTTGAACGTGACATTTGAAATGTCTGTGATTTCCTCTCATTCCACCTCATAGGTGCCAACATGGAGCTGATTTCCTGTTCACTTCCTTCCCTTCCTGTTCTTTTTCTTTCTCCCCTCCCACTTCTCACAACAACTGACCGAAACAGTTGTCCTAAGGATCTCCTGCTTCAAATAAAACCTGACACATTTCTGAAGTCCTTTCTTTCTTTTTTCAGAATGTGCTGGAGCTGGCTCTCTATGATAAGGATGTGGTTACTCAGGATGACCACCTCTTCACGGTGTACTTTGACATAGCCAAACTTTCCCTGGGGGAGGAAGTCTTCATGCACTTCAAGTGTGATTCACAGGTGAGGTCCAAAATAAGAAATGGAATAACTTGGCAAGAATGTGATTGTTAGCTTTTTTTGTCTAAAATGCTATTTGTAAAATGTTGCCTTTTTTCCTTGTTGTGTTTCAGCTGCCTAGCCACATAAAAATAAGTTGGTTTTCACTCTAAAGTAGGAAAACCTCTTCACACCTGCATCTGTAGGCACACTGAAAAGTTTGGTGTAGGCCACAGAGGCTCACAAATTTCAGGTGTATTGGCAAAATTGTTCCTTTGCTGAGCCTGCCCCCATCGAGGCTGAGGAGGGTGTCCATGCCAGTACCTGATGCTTTTGTCATAACCTACTACTTAGTCTAATAATTAGGAAGTAAAAATTCCCTGATCAGAACTAAATGTCAAACCAGACTATTTGCTAATTATGGAATGTGGCATGGGTGTTTAAATAAAGTCTAGGTCATGCCACCCAGCTTGGCATCAAGAAATAATCCTGTCTTGAATGTCCAGGGAGACTGACAATTGTACACCCATCTCCCAGTATGTTCTGTCATTCTCCTTTTCCAGTTCCAGTTTCTTGTGCATCTGTAGTGCGCCACTCAGTTGAGGAATTACCTTATCTACACACACCCAAGCTCCACACTGTGCTTCATTGTCTTTAAATGCCTTATTTGACAATTTTGTTCCTTGCAAAATATCAAAGTAGCAGTGTGTGGACTTCTGCTAAGATCTGGTGAAATTAAAACTTTGGCTAGTGGTAACCCAGCTGATCACTTTGCTTACAGGTGCCATATCCAAACCTTTTCTTTTTGCACAGCTACACCAGTTAGAGCTCATACTCTTCAAGCCTTTGTAAACTTTTTTGCCCTGTATTATTAACTTTTTGGTGTCTTTAATTGAGTGGATAATTTAAGCAACTAAGTAGCCTACAGCATGATCTCACTTTGCTGTTCATCATCCCTTCTGTCCCCACTTTTGTTTTCCTCTTGCCTGTGATTTCTTTCCCCTGAGGATAATACTCCTTTTCACCACTTCACAGACCAGGCCTTAATGTCAGATTTACCACTGTCCCAATGCCCTAAACTTGCTGCCAGACAAAGAGGTTTTCCTCTTCCACAGCTGCTTTGCAGGTCACCATTTCACTTCCTGACACCAGAAGACTTTGCCTCTCCCCTTCAGCAGATCCCCTTTCTTTTTGCTGGAGACTCAGAATGAGACAACATCTCCCCCTAGGTCTGTCCCTTAGGCTCCAGCAGAGGCAGGCAAGCCAAACAATTTCTGTATTAAAAACTGCTATGACAGCCATCCACAAGCTTCCTACCAGGAGAGAATCTTGAGACTCAAGACACACAGATGTGTGGTGATGTGTGACTCTGTTTTAAATGCTCTGCTGGTCACAAACAGTGCATGCATACCCAGATTGTGAGAATGAGGACTTGCATTATGAGAACTTCCAGTACACTAGTACCAAGATAATTTTCCTGTCTTTATTTTCCAGAGACGAGAGGAACTGGAGGTGGGATTTGCCTTGGATAATATGTGAGTAAACATGAAATGCAACATTACCTGGAACAAAAAGAAACAGCAATTCAGAGGCGTGAAATAGTCCAGTCTGATTGTTCAGAGTGCTTCATCCCCAAGGAATCTGTGCTATGAGCTATGTCAACAAATGGGTGAATGCCAGGATGACCTCCCATGAGCTTCAGGAAAACAGGGAGAACACCCTAAAACCTTTTATTTGTCTAATGTAGTGAACATAATTTAAGACCAGAATGTTGCTTATTTGTTATGCACTTGTGTTTGAGATCAGCAAGAGGGTCCACCTCCCTTCAAAACACCACATGGAATAATGCACTGGATTTCTGATCCAGAGCCTTCATTGTTCCATCATCCAGAAAAGTGTGATTTATTAAAAATTGGATTCCATGAAACCATCCCTGGCCTCATCTTGGGACTCAGCATAAAATCGCTCCGTGGTTTGGCCTCAGAGCACCTTTGGCATTTTTTTTGCTGAGCTCCAGGACTGGATGAGCCAGTAGGACGACAATTGTGCCTTGACATAGCACAGTGAGGAAACTTGTACAACAAGTCTCCTGGAACTTTTCTTTCAAATCCAAGATGCAGGTAAAAATATGCAAGAGGAAAATCAGGAGAAGGGTGGAGCGCATCAACAGTACTGTAATTTTAATGAGTTATTGTAAATGCATTTTTCTTTGTTTCCTAGTTCAGGCCCTCCTGAAACCATCATTACTAATGGAGTGCTAGTGGTGAGTGTTGTATTTCATCATCTTTCTTGTCCTATTGCCACACTTGTTTCACTTGACTCACAGTCATCAGGACAACATACCCCTGGACTGAGACAGCCAGCACTGAAACATTGCCATTTCCCGCTTCATCATGACACATCCTTGCGGATGGCACCTCTGGAGACACCGTGGCTGGAACAGCACGGAGATCCCCCATCCCAACACCTTTTGCTGTTGCAAAGGAAACACAGGGAAGTGGTTTAGGTCTGAGACATCAGTGCAGCAGTGAATTCTTCCTTAGACATCACTCCTCCCACATTCCCTTACTGCCGAAGTGAGAGGGTTTGTCCTGTCCCATGCACATCTCACTTCCCACATTCACAAATGTGTTTTTTACACAGGGACTTCCCATCCCTGGCATTTTCTCATTTATTATCTTTGCCTGCTCATGAATTCTGTATAAAACAATCCTTGCATCTCTGGGATCCTGAAAGTACTGTTTTTCACTTTGTCCTCATCTTCTCCCTCCTGCAAGCCCTCTTCATCCACACTGCACTCCTGCCTTGCCCTGGTTGTGTCCTGTTTAGAATAGGAAACAGAATGTCACGTTGGAAAATTCCTTGCCATGATGTATTTTACTGTTCGCATCTCTTACAGTCTCGCAAAATCTGCTGCTTAGAAGTTCAGGTGGTTGAGAAGAAGAAGAAAAAGAAGAAATCAAGTAAGGTTATTTCTCCATCAGCTATTTTTAACTGATGTGCTAATATTATGAACACAATTGGCTTAGTGTAAGAATTAAAGAACCCCAACAAATCCAAAGCATGAGAAGAGCCTTGTGATAGACTCTGTAAGAATTTTTGTTACCAGTTTTGATGAGAAAGTTAACATGTCTGCTTTTGTGTCATTTCCTTAGAAAAAGAATTTTCCTTTAAAGTGCAAGGCTCTTATGAAGGCACCCAGGACATTGTGCTGGGATCTGGTCTGGCTTTCAGCTCCTCCTTTCCTGCCAAATTCCACTATGCCAGATACAAGCAGCCAACACTGGATGTTACACTACCAGGAAAGAAACGACCTCCCTCCTCAGTATGTTACAACTGAGCTTTAAAAAACAATAATAATGGCATGTAAAATATTAGACACCATAAATAGTAACATTAATTTGTATTGTGGGCAGTGTGTAACATTCTATACAATATAAACATAGGTTTATTTGTATTTTTTCAGAACTCACATGTGTATGATACAAGCTCTGCAAATGTGGAACTTCATTCCATTCCAAGTGGAAAAAATATGATCTTAGCAGAGGTGAGTGCCTGCTTTTTGGTGGGAGAGGCTGAGAAACCTGGATGTGGAAGTCTGCATCCCCCTATGATTTCCATGGTACTTTCTGACAATGAAAGCCTGCAGATAAAAACACCACAGCCTAACAGTGGCAGGTCTTTCAGCAGTTAGGCACAGCAATTGTGCCTTGTTCTGTTTGAATAGATGTGAGGCATCTTGCTGCTCCATCCTGATCTTACTTCACACTTAATGTTGAAGCTCTGCCCTTCCCCTTCTCGCACACCAGTGGTGCACCTGAACTGACTGAGGTAGCGTCAGACTTCTGCTGATGCTGATGATGCTTTACAAAGCACTTTTAGACTCATGGTTAAAAAAAACTAGGAAACATTAAAAATTACTGAACAACTTCCCTTTCAGTAAAACACTACTGTCAATTTGCATAGGCTGCTGGTTTATTCAAGCTCCTGATTAATCAGAGCTCCTGATTTGTACCCAGATTGCTAGGATGGCACAAGATAAAATTCCACCTCAGGGTGCAAGGAAGAAGCAGGTTATCAGCACTCACATTGTTCATTTTCTTGCTTTCCAGGATAAAAGATTTGATTTATTTGCGAAGGCAGAAGACTGGTAAGAGACTTAGCCGCTCTTGGAGGTTAACTTTTACTTGGCTGAACTCATCTCACCCTGGGCTCTTTACTGGGGAGGAGGCACTCACAGCAGGACTGTAAGGTGGTGTGATCAGGTTTTGTGGCATACACATGAGCTGGAAAGCCACTGCACGTGATGTACTGAGTACATCTACATGTATTGAGACACGAATAGTGAAAAAAATATCCATAAAATAGAAAAAATAATATTACAAGTCAATTATGCTACCCAGTGATATAGTCAGCACAGTCTTTTGCCTTTTGTTTAACACTGGGTAAGAGCGCAGCCGGTCACCTGGCATTGTTGATCATGAAGTAGGGAAAATTCCTACCTAATTCAAGAAAGTATGAGAAGTTTTTCCTATAGCTCTCAGTTCACTAAAATATGAGAGAATCCAGACAGCAGGTATGCCAGAAATTAGCTGCAGGAATGTCTTTCCTTAGGTTTTATTTTGATAACTGCTTAGAATTTATCAGTCCTTTCTTCTATCCTTCTTTCAAGCAGCATTGTATACTTGCTTGGGAGTGTAGGAAAGGGACCTCCTGTAATTGGACTATTTTGTGGAACAGTTTTGTTTTATTGCATTGGAAACTCTGAGCTTGTTTACCAATCAGAAAATGAAATATGCTTTTTTCCTGATCTCTGCTTCAGCCCAGACCACCTTGATGTGCGTTTAGGATTTGATCTCTGCATACAGGAACAAGACTTTCTCTGCAAAAGGAAGAATTATGTTATGCCTGCTCTGAAGAAGGTTCTGCAGCTGGAACAGGATCTGCTGGACCATGAGGTCTGTAGGGAAAACATTTAGAACATCTCACCAGTGCTTAGCAGTGAGAGCATAATGGCATAATACAACCTCTTTTTCTTCATAGTTAATTTTTTTTCTGATCTTTCCTCATCTTAAAACTTATGTATAACTCCAATACTGCCCCATACTTGTAAATTCACCTTGCTGTTTGTGTCCTTTGCATTTGCTATCCTGAGTTTAACCCTTTTCCTGCTACACCTTCCTTGGAAGCCAGATATTCCTTACGTAGGAATGGCTTCTTCCACACTGTTTACCCTATTATTGTTATCCTTGTTGATAGTCCCTTCTCTCTTCAGCCTCTGAGATTTCATTTTAATTCCTGCTTTTTCAACTGAGTTTTTTCTCTCTTACTGTCTCCTTTGGTTTGAATTAATGCATTTTTATTTGATTAATACCAAACATCTATGTTGAACACATTGGAAACAAGTGTCAGATATCTAAGCAAGAAATGGTCATTGCTTCTACTCCTGTTCTCCTTTATAAAATAAATGCTAGGTTATATTTCAGTAGAAGTCATTTAGAAAGAAGTCTGTGCCTGGGCACAGGTGGTGCTGCTGGGCTTTATGTATGGGGAGGTCTCTGCTGAGAGGCGCGGTCAGGGGCAGCCGCTGTGTGACGCCGGCCCTTTGTGTCCCTGTGTTGCACAGAGCCCGGTGGTGGCCGTCATGACCACGGGAGGAGGGATGAGATCCTTGACAGCACTCTATGGCAGCCTGAGGGGGCTCAAGAAGCTCAATGTCTTGGACTGTGCCACCTACCTGACTGGCTTGTCTGGTACTACATGGTGAGTGGGACTGGGCAGCCCTTGGCTGGAGTCTCCCTGGTGACACCAAAGTGCTGAAGGAGGCTGGGGCTGATGTACAATAGTGTACCTATAACAGCTTCTCAGCAGTCCTACTTCTTAACCTTCCAAAACTGACAGAATAAAGTCTTTTCATGGGGGAAAGTCACATAATTTGCAACTACATGATAAGAAAGTGTTTTTCTAATAATGGTTTGTAGAAAATTGTGCAGGCTATTTTGGCAGGGTTAATGACTGTGACTTCAAAGGGAACATGAGAGTTTCATAGGGAACTGAAGACAGGAAATCTTAATTTCAAATCAAGAACTTAAAACCAAAACATAAAATGCCTACCTCAAACCTTGGTGTGCTTTTTTCCCTCTTCAATATGTATTTCCTCTTCCTAGGACCATGTCAAACTTGTACAGAGATGCTGACTGGTCACGAAAGGATCTCGACAAGCAAATCAGTGAGGCTCGAAAACATATGACAAAATGCAAAATAAATTCCTTTTCCTTGGAATATTTGAAGTATTACAAAAAGCAGCTGTGCCAACGGAAAAGAGAGGGCCGCAAAACGTCTTTTATAGATCTCTGGGGGCTTGTCCTGGAATCTTTTTTGCATGATGGGGTACAGTATATCATAAAGCAGCATTTACAGTGGCTTACCATTCTCTGAAAATTTAATTCTGGAGAAGATATTTTTCTGTTGGCTCTGAGAAAAACAGTTTGTTACAAGACAAATGAAACATTTTCCAAAACATTTGGTGCCAGTCTTGTAGATACTCATTCATGGTGAAAATCGGCATTCTTGCTTGTGAAATTTTGAACATATTTTTCTGAGGAAACCCCAAGTACAACATTTTCAAACAGTATTACAGTTTAAGAATTTTTTTCATATTCTGCAAGTTACTTGTTTAGAAATAACAAAATTGCAGACATTATGCATGCCTATGAGACGTGTTAACGAAAGAACCTGCAGACTTTTGAAAGGTGTGAGGTCTTCCATAAAGCTGCAGCATAATGCAATAACGTGTTTTATATCACAAGTATTGCTTTCTGCTCTTTATTGTTTCTTTCCATTTACATCTTAATGCATCATCAAATAATCTGGCATCAGATTGGATGGCTGCAGGTATTTCAGTAACAGAACACTTATGGGGATTTTGAAAAATATGGAACATTTCAGAGGATAAGCCAAGCACACATTATACATTAGAGGCAAGAATTTTTCTGCCCTGCAAGCTTAGATGCAGAGAAAATATTGCCATGCTAATTTTTCTCTCAGTGTAACTGTATTTCTGGGATCACAGAAAGACAACCACAGACTCTCAGATCAGCAACAGGCCATTGATCGTGGTCAGAACCCACTTCCTATCTACACTGCAGTCAATGTCAAGAACAACTACAGCACTCTGGATTTCAAAGGTAATTATGAGGCTTCTGAGAGTCATTTGTCTTTATATTTTAGGTGGTAAATCATGTAACAGTCTTTTTAGATAGCCTAAAAAACCCCTCTTATTTAAAGACCAGAATCTCAGCTGATGTGTACTCATATAATATCCTTGTGGTCAGGTAAAAGTTTGACTTGTCTATTCTGTCTATGAAACAGACTCAAAAATATTCCAAAGCTTTTCCATGTTCATGAGTATTCATTTGTAACATGCTTACAACTCATTGCTATTGGTCAGAAATATTAGACTCAAAAATTATTTTGAGGGCTGTAATAAAACTTATTCTCTTCTTTGGGTTCTTTTTTACAGAATGGGTGGAGTTCACCCCATATGAGGTGGGATTGCAAAAATATGGAGTTTTTGTACGCACGGAGGATTTTGGCAGTGAATTCTTCATGGGACGATTGATGAAGAAGGTCCCTGAATCCAGGATCTGCTTCTTGGAAGGTAAGCTATTAAAACCAACAAATTATTTTATTGCTCATTTTGTTTTGGAGGCTTTGGGTTGGCTTTTATTATTTTGAGGATTTTTTTATTGTTATTTTGTTGTTGTTTGTTTGTGTGTTTGTTTGTTTGTGTGTTTGTTTGTTTGTTTGTTTTGGTGTTTTTGGGGGGGTGTGTGGGAGTTTTTGGTTTTTTTTTTTATGTGAGCTATATAAATTACACACTGATAAAGTATTGGTGCAGGACTGACATGGCAGTTTCACCAGAGAGGATAAATATCTCTTTGCTGAATTAATACTTACTATAATGGCTTCAGTTTGCAGTAAAGAAGAAAATTCAAAGGGGCTATCAAATAGTCATTTACACTTTTAAACCTAGTTTTGAATGAAAATATAGTATGGCTTCCAGTACAACAATAAATTTGAGGTCCCTGGGAATCCGTGGTTCAGCTCAGAACCAGAAGGGTGAATTTCTGAGCCTGTTGCCTGTCTCATGGATAGTCAGTATTTTGTATGCTCCCTATAAACATTTTATATGAGCCTTCATGCTGACTCTCCACTGCATCAGGGTGTGTTTGAGCACGCCAGGGCCTCCTGCTCCAGAGGGTCCTAGGCCACAGGTCCCTGGCTCCACACTGCCTGGGCAAGGCTGGGGGAAAACAACACAGCCATCCTCAAAACATTTTTGCTGTCGACTGAAGAGGAGCATGGATATGTGTTTTCCTGAGAAAGAGACAAAGCTGTCAGCTTGTGACTGGTTTCACAAGAAAACTTCTCTTTGACTTTCTCTTCCACTGAGCAGAAAATAGACACTGTACTATTTTAGCCTCAGTCTCTGCTGGATTGTCACACATTTGCACTCCTTGAATGAAAAAACAGTCAGAACTTGTGTCTTAATGGATAACCAAAGAAATTGCTTTTCAAGCGCAAAAATGAATGGTCAAAACTGATCCCTTGGTGTATTAACAGGCTTATTCTCAAAAAGGGGATCCTACAAAAGCAGAGGCTGTAAGATTATATTGTAGTTATGCCCTTACCAATATAATTTCACATCAAATTTCTTGGATTGCAACCCTTTATCCTTTCTTTTTATGCAAACTTAATGATACTTGTGTTTTTTTCCTAAAAATACCAATTCCATATTGATTTGCAAATATCTCCATCCCTAAATACCACAAAACAAAAACTGGACACCAAAAATAAGGTTTAAAAACCAACAGCCAAATAAAAATGACACGTCATGCTTTTAAAACGAAATAACAGAAAACAAACCTCACAAGTTTTGTCTCATTATAGCAGTTTGAGATTTATGATATGTGAATGTTTGGGTTAGAAAGCTCTTTTCTTTTACAGGCATGTGGAGTAGTTTATTTTCATTCAATGTGTTATATATCTGGAATTTGTCCCATTCATCAGAAGATTTCTGGCACAGGTGGACCAGGGACCAAATTGACAATATAGGTAAACAACCATTATTCATTTTCTCTCTGTATTTATTGTTGAATGGAGTTACGTGTCTCATGATGCAAATTACAAATGAATAATTTAAAAAATCTCTGGTCCTGTGATCTATTAAGGGTCAACACTGATGCTGGTAGATGAGTCAGATGTCCAGAAATAATAAGATTGATCTGTAAATTATTAATAAAGCAAAATGATTTTGACTGCTTCAAGTGATACAAAGAAGAACAACAGCTGTTCTTTTCCAAAGCCTGCATTCAGTCTGTTCCTCTAATGTGTGTACACCTGGAGCAGACTTTTATTGCTGTTTGACACTGTATCTTGGGCATTTTTATCCAAGCCCAGACTGTGTAAAGAAATGGTATTTGTCTAGTAAGAGTAGCTTCTTATTTTCTGTTTTGCTTGGTCACTTATGCTCGTTGGTCCGTTTAATAGGAGAAATCATCAGGGTTTATTACTTACCTTGACTTCTTGAGGGCTGACCCTGCTCTGGGCAGGTGGAATTTAAGAGCTTTTCCCCCGTGCAGAGGAGGAGCCCCCGCTGCTCGTGAAGCCTCAGGAGCTGCAGACACGGCTGTTCACACCGCCCGGGCCCCTGGGCAGCGCCCTGCGCGCTGTCCTCGCCGACCGCGTCTGCATCGCCCAGGAGCACAACTTCCTCAAGGGCTTCCAGATGCACGACGACTACCTGGAGAATACACACTTCCGCAGGTGGAAAGGTAAGGGGAGACCTGTGGGCCCGGGGAGAGAATAAACAAACTGAACAAAACGAAACTCCAAATTTGAAGTTAAACCTGTTCTCTGAGGTTGGAGGCCAGGTTTGGGCAGAGTCTCTATTAGACCAATCGACGACTGATGATGCTGCAGGATGTAGCATGGCATGGTGTTGAGCTACGTGTCAGTGGTTTGCTGGTGGCACTCCCCTCTGGAGGCCACCAGGTCCTTCCTCTCTTCAAAGACACCCTCGGTGGGGAGGCACGGTAAATCCCCTTCATGAGTGTTGTTGCTGCAGGTACAAAACTGCATGTGACTGGAGCTCAGGGGGCAGAAGAGAAAGGAAAAAACCTTCCTTCCCCAAGGACAGTTAAGGCTCTGAGGACATGGTCTAAGGGTGGAGAAACAGGCCAGCAGGTTTTGCAGTATTGCACTTACAGCAAGAATATTTTTTTTTCTTTCAGATACTGTGTTAGACACATTTCCCAACCAGCTGACACAATCAGATCAATTCCTGTCTCTGGTAGATACTGGATTTTTCATCAATACAAGCATCATGCCACTTTTAAAACCAGAGAGAAAGGTGGACGTCATCCTGCATTTAAATTACAGTGCAGGATCCCAGATACAGGTGACAGTAATTCAAACAATCTTTATTGCTTCTTCAACATGAGTATATTTATAATTTTTTAACACTTAGTTTCTTTTTGTATTGGTCCTACTAAAAGCATTAACCTTTAGCATTTTCAGCTTAATGATGAAGTGTGATACATCTTTTATAGGCTGCATGTAGTCTTGTTTGTTTTTCTTGTACAATAAACTGTATTATGCTAAGACTCAGAAACAAAAACGAAAATTAAAAAAAAGCCCCACAAATCCTTCTGTCCAGTGACACGGTGCTTTTGATTAGGGATTAGGATCTTGCTTTGCACAAGCTGCTTAGAAAATGTCTACTTTAATACTGGACTCCAAGAAATCATTAAAATCCTATTTTAAGTCTTAGTACTGCTCTGTTCCTTGATCCAGGCTTTGGACCAGACCTGCAAGTACTGCTCCGAGCAGGGAATTGCTTTTCCCAGGGTAGACTTGAGTGAAGAAGACAGGAAAAAGCTGAAGGAGTGTTACCTCTTTGATGGTGCTGAGACTCCAGGAGCACCAGTACTGCTATTTTTCCCACTAGTTAATGATACCTTCCAAAAATACAAAGCACCAGGCAAGTACTCAAACATGTTAAAAAGGTTTACATCATGGACAGTCTATTAAAAGGAATATATTTTATACTCCGACTCTTGAATTTCACTGTTTACTCTTCTCAGTATGTCAAACTTTTCTGTTCCTTAAAGTTTTCCTGAAAGTTAAATTTTTTTAACCACATGAGATTTGATGCCAGAGCTGTGATGTTTCAATCCCTAAGCTAGTTATCTTGCAGGTAATCAGTTTTCAGGTAACTTCGATGTATCTACTGATGTGTACATCCATAGACACATACTGTAGGTACCTTAAGGCACAGCTAAGAATTACAGGGCAGACCCATGTAAGAATAATCACCCTTTTTTCTGCCCTCATCCTGTGAAGCCACTGGTATGCACTTGAGCCAGGGACTGAGCCGTCAATTTGAATAAGAATTATTTGTTTTTCTAAAAATATATTGAAGCCAAACAAGTAATTTATACTATGAACTCTGTGGAAAGACACCTCCTTTCCTTTCTCTGTTAAGAGTTTGCTTGTTTATGACCAGAGTGATTTCTCACCCCTTCCTCCTAGGTCAGAAGCGCTCAGAGTCAGAGATGGAAGATGGCAAAGTTGATCTCTATGGCTGCTGTTCCCCGTATTCAACATATTCCCTTCAGTACACTGAGAAGGAGTATGACCTCCTGGTTCAGCTGGGCGAATACAACATCCTCAATAACGAAGACCTCATTGTACAGGCCTTGCGCACAGCAGTGGCACGGAAAAGGCAGATAAAGAAATGATGTCAAACAAGACAGGGTGTTTTTAAGTCCCTTAACCTGCCAAGAGACTGAAGGTCTCTTACAATTAGCCAGCAGGCTTCAAAGTATTCCTGCTCAATCCCACTATTTAGTAATCTCAGGTGAACAAAAAAGACTGAAGAAAACCTTTTTCTCCGAAGAATTTCACTGCAGTAAATCATTGCGATTCAGTTACAACAGAGTATGAATTGTTCTATGATACAGAGGATGGGCAGCCATAAAACAGGTGCTAAAATGATAATAAATATGGTGCTTGTTGCCCTGAGAAAGAGCTTTTAGTGTTTAAGCCTGACATCTTCAGGACAGACTACATTAAAAGCATATTTTACTAACTTGACTTGTGTGTTGTACTTGCAAGGTGGTTCTGAGACAAGCAGCAACCTTTGGGACAGGTTGGTGACTGGGATCATGGCACACTGCATGCTTAGAGAAAAGCACATTCTGTATGGAGAATAGCACTGCGGAAAGGGACCTGGGGGTCTGTGGCAAGTTGAACAGGAGTCAGCGGTGCCCTGGCAGCCATGAGGGCCAAGCTTGTCCTGGGGGCATCAGCCACAGCATGGCCAGCTGGGCAAGGGAGGGATTGTCCTGCTCTGTTCTGCACTGGGGCAGCCTCATCTCAAGTCCTCTGTGTGGTTTTGGATGCTGCAATGTGACAAGATATATATTAAGATATGAGAGAGTCTCCAGACAAGGGCATTGAAGGCCATGAAAAGCTGTATGAGGAGTAGCTGGGGTCGCTTGGTCTGTTTAGCCTGGAAGACACTGAGAGGAGACCTCTTTGCAATCTGCAGTGTAAATGACTTTTTTGGTTGGACGTTTTTTTATGGGTTTGTGGACTTTTGGGATTTGGGAGTTTTTTGCTGTAGTGCATTTAGAGTGTTAGGTTGAAAGGTTAACTTGAGTTTCTCAGTGTACCTAAAAGTAGACTATCTACAATTTGTAACCTACTGAAACCACCATTTTAAACCATTTAAAATTCTTTGAAATGCACAAGATACAGACTAGAATATGAAATGCTGTTCTTGATGCATCTCAGGATGCCGGTTCACACTGCTGGCCCATACTGAGCCTGCTGCTGACCAGCACCCCCAGGTCCCTGCTCTGCAGGGCTGCTCTCCAGCCACTCCTCTCCCAGTTTATACTTGTCTCTGGAGTATCTTGTGTCTTCCTGTATTGGGTTTACACGGCAAAGTGTTGGTAGCAGGGTGGGCTGCTGCTGAGGTGGCTTCTGTGGCTGCCAGCTGCATTTCAAGGCTAATGTGGAGGATTTGATCTCTGCTTTCCAAACAAATAGATAAAGATAGTCAGTGTGCTTGGCTGAGTCATGTCACTCTGAAGCATTAAACAGCATCACCATCAGTCTGGCAGAGGGAGCAGGACACAGTGTTTCTGTAATGACAGGTCAGCAAAGGACAATAGTGTTCTGTGCAGCTCTCAGTTTCAGAATACAGACAATGACAGAGAGGGGTGCCTATGAAATGCCTGCCTTGTTTCTTCAAATGACCTCTCTAAATATAGTCATGCTTTTATTTCTGTACTGCTGAAAAGTTGTAGCTTTAATAGTGTGGTTTGTCCAGGATAGATTCTTGGAAGATATTTTCCGTAGTTTATGAATGGGTTCTGTCTCTTAGCAATTCTTTACTTTGCACCTATTCTTCCAGAATTAAAGTCTGAGAATTGGTGTTGTTGTAGTGAGGCTGGACTGACTCATCTCAAGTGATGGTTCTTACAGATACAAGCAAGGCAGATGTAATTTCTGTACAGAGTATGACTAATGCTTCCAGCTCTAGCCATTCACATGCCAGTGGGGAACTGAATATTTTGTATGTAGCTCTGTGCTTGCCTTTACTTCTAGGATGCCAGGAAAATGGATAGGCTTTTTGAATCCACTGTGGTCATTTTAAAAAAATGTCTCATTTTAGACATTTTCTGACAGGCCTTACTCAAGATTCAGCAAGTTTGAAGGAGGCTTTTTACACCTTTTGCATGTGAAATCTAAAGAGATAGTGCAGCAGGGAGTGCAATAAATAGTCTGGAAGGTGCTAGGAGAGGTGAAAGAAGGCTTGCAAAGTTGTTGGATGTCAAAGCTAAGCCTGGAGGGGTTTTTAGCTTGATTGCATCCTTTGCCTTTGCAATCCTTGTTTGCAAGTACATAATAAGCCTTTAGCAAAACACTGAGTGACAATTTTCTGTACTGTTAAATTAAAGAGCTATTAAATTGTTTAACTCTGGTGAATTGCTATTAGGCTATAGAAAAAGTAAAATAGCAAATGAGCTTTGTATTGTACTAGATTATTCATCTGGTTTCTTTCCATGGCTTCTAAAAGCCAGAAGTACCATCAGATCATCTTGTTAGACTTGTTAGATGTCAGACTGTTACCTGCAGTGGAGCTACTGAAATGTTAGTCTTGATCATCTGTGGCTGACAAAAGTCTATTTTGAAGACAAATGATCCCGCTTCTATTATAGATACCAGGAATGACAAAGTCACCACATTTCTTGGAGCTATGTTGTAGTCAGTGACCATCTTCCAGCAATGGGTATGCACCTTGTTTCCAGCCTTGTTTATTTTGGCCAGATATTAGCACATGACATCTTTTCCTAATACCTTAAAAGCCATTCCATAACCATTGTTTTTTTATTTGGATCAATTTTATAAAATATACCTAGTTTACATCACAATCTTCTTTTTATCAAAACAGTAGATGCAACCCTTCAAATTCTGATTATAAACCCCTCTTTATTTGATGTATCCCAATGTATCTCTGCCCTTGCATTCCCTCCAATTCTTCATTGTCCCTTTATCAAATGCAGACTCCTGTACCCTTTCCACAACTGCTACACACTGAGATTAACATTGCTTTGTTATTCTTATATTCTTACATATAAATGAGTTCCCTGTTTCTATATATAGAATCCAGTTGTCCTCATTTGCCTTAAAGGCTTCTGACAAGTTGTTTGTCTTCCATAAGCTGGTGAGTTAGTTTTTTCGACACTCCAGTCTTCCCTTTTGTAAGGGGTAGTAAACTGTAATGTTTGGCAGCCCTTTAATCATAACTCACACTCCAGTGAATTAGATTTTACCAGGGTTAAGCAGGCCAGATCATTCTTTATGATTGCCCTGTCCTCAGTACTACTCCATCAATCTTTGTTCTGCTAATCTGACCAGTCAGGGTGCCTTCTTAGTTTCCAAAGCATTCATGAAAAGGTTCAATAGAGTTTGAGACTGGTAAACTCTTAAAAATTCCTCAAAAGAAAACTTTTCAGTGATACTTAGCACTGAGTACTACTTCTGAAATCAGTTAGAAAAAATATTCTTTAGCTTCCAAATATATACTTTCTTTTCAGACTTTGCATTAAAAAATCTTACTATCTTTGCACAATAGACTAAAAAAACAGGATATTTCAGGGTAGAACAAAATCTGTTTCTTCATATTGAAAAACACTCCTACTGACTGGCTTCCAGAGACAGCTCAGGGCTTACCAAAACTGCCCATCACCTTATGGGGAACCTCTGATTTTGTTATGCCATGCACATTTCTGGGAGGACATCCTGTAATTGCTTTGACATCCTTTGCAGCCTTATTGAACTCTGGTCACTTAAAGACAGCTTCAGTAACCTGCCTTGCAAGACCAATGCATGCATAGGACAGCACATGTTTTGGTCTCACATTGGCATCACCTCTATAGCATACCTAATATGAGGAAATTAAAGAAGAATTTCTGTGCAGAGTCCAAATATAAGCAAGTCTTTTGCAAAGTTTAATAAAGAAAGGAAGAGAAAAAGAAAAAGAAAGGCACAGTTATATCTCTTTATTAATATCAACTTCCAGCAGCTTTCCTATCCTTTTTCCCTGTTCTTTTTTTCCCCAGATACATGGTTCTTAAGCTCTTTACTGAACTGTATGGCTAGGCATGTAGTTCACATGCAAGGGAGGTAGGTCTCTTACTTCTGCCTTCATGCAAGGTGTTTCAGACATAAATTTCTTACTCCACATCTCCCCTGGTGTTTCTATAGACACACACATGCGCACACACACACATGTATATGGAATTGGGTGGAACCATCTGCTGTCCAGACAATAAATTGTACTAGCTAATGACTGTCCTAAGGACAACTAATTACACATCAACAATCTTTTTTTGGCAAAACACTCCCTTATGTGGTGGAGTGCAGTTTTCAATGTATAATTGCTTTGTATGCTGAAAGTTATATATAATATAAACATGCATACATTGACAAATGCTGTACAAAATGTATGAAGCATAAATGTAAAGAATTTATGCAACTTGAAACCAACTCTTCATTTAACGCAGGTATTTCTATCAACTATTTCAGGGATGATGGAGCATTTGGCATGCATGACTACCATCCTACATTTTGAGGAATAGCAAGAGAATCTGGAGTGGTAATATGTGATAATTGATTTTAATTAGTCATTCATTATATTCATTATGGCAATGGCAGCCAGGGTAAACAACTGGCACATCCCCCTTGCTGCTTTTTAAAACTGGCACAATATTCACATTCTTTCTGTAGTTCTGCAGTATACCAAGAATTAAAATAGCTGAAGCATAGTCAAGAATGCTAGACCATGTTTTACAAACTAATTGGTAAGGATGATCTCTGTTCTGTCTTATTACATGTAATATGACTATGTGCTCATTTTCATTATTCATTGGTGAAACATGTAACATGTCTTCTTTTTGAACATAGAATACAAGTGTTTTATTACCATTCCTGATGTAGCTGCATAATTAATAATTATTTTGCTTTTTATGCAAGTTAAAGTCCAAACCTTTGGTAGCATTTTTCTTTCTCTTCATAAACAATTCCTTTTTATTTGCACATATGAGCTTATTATTGTCTTGGACTTGTAGAAATGCAGCTAATAATTAATTTTCCTTTAATGTCATATCTGTGTGATGTGATCTAACTGAGTAGGTTTTAGTTGTTACATCACATAGGGTCAAAATATCAAACCCATGTGAGAGTTTATGCAAGAGCTGTTTAGACAGGTTTTCACATGCTTTAGTAACATGTGGCTCCCTTTCATTTATTATAATGGATATTCAGCAATGTTTGCCACTTAAGAATTTGTTCTTCTTTAATCTGTGTTTTCTTGACCTGACCTAGGAGTCATGCTTGACTTTGATGTCTGTGAGTTCTAGCACAGTATAATGTTGCAATGGTGATTTAATTTAGCATGTAATAGGATGTACTTACATAGTTGCCTATCTCGATCTCCTGGAGAATGTTTCTTTCCTTACGCATTTCTGAAACACTTCCTTAAG